TTCTTCTCCTCCTTGGCAATTGGTGAGGCCAGAAGTTGACTTAACATTAACCACATTTAAAAAAATCCGAAACTAATGATTTACAATATAAACAAGAATTTAGTCAATTAAGAAATAAATATAATACCTATAAATCCTTATATACAGATGGATCCAAGGATGGTGGCGCGGTTGCTTGTGCCACTGTCATTGGGTCCAAAACAATATCTTCCAGACTACCCAATGACAGTTCAATTTTCACAGCAGAAGCAAACGCCATCTTAACAGCTCTTAAATATATTAATAAACACCGTAAATATAAACAATATATAATCTTTTCTGACTCTCTATCTTGCCTTCAGGCGATTAAAAATCTATCTTGCAAACATCCACTTTTAATTGAAATAATTGAATTATATAATGATCTTGCTACTGGCCAATGCGACATCGTCTTTTGTTGGTTACCCAGCCACGTTGGCATTTCTGGGAACACGATGGCTGATATTGCTGCTAAGGCAGCCCTCAACAAATCTGTGACATCACTTCTTATCCCATACTCTGATTGTAAAGCCAGCATTAGAACTTACATCCGCGATCTAATGCAGAAGAAGTGGGACACCCAAGTAGGTATTAATAAATTACATGCAATAAAACCCTATATTGGTTACACCTACTTGGGTTGTCAGTCCAGATTTGAAGAGGTCATCATACGACGATGTCGTATTGGCCACACAAGATATTCTCATGAGTACCTATTAAAAGGTGAGGATCCTCCGTTCTGTATCCCTTGTGATGAAAGAATCACAGTCAAGCATGTCTTGCTTGACTGCATTGAATATTCCATCACAAGGGATAAGTATTTTAATGTCAAAACATTGAAGGATCTTTTTAATAATGTTAGTTCTCATTTAGTTATTGCCTTTTTAAAAGAATTAGATTTGTTAAGTGATTTGTAAATAGATATATATTTTATTATTGGTAGTTTGAATTAGTAACATAGATTGTTAGTGGCTGTATCCTCGAGGGGGGTTAAAGTACTGTAAACGTATTGTCCTCCTGAGAGGGTACGTAAGTCCCAAAACATTCAAAGTCAATTTCAACTTTCCGTTTTTTAATTGTAGAATATTTGTAATTTTAATGTATGGCTAGATATGCCTTAATTGCTAACGGCTGAGGGGATGATATAAATCCAGCTAGGGCCCATGCAGGAAGCAAATGTACTGTAAGTCCCCATGGTCCCTAGTATGGTGATCTACCTTCAGTTGTTAGCGATCTATAGCCCATTTTTAGATTGTGTTGTCCCCTATGGTTAAAATGTTTTAGATTCAATTACTAGTTTTACATATATATATCTGTGATACTCTAGTTGCTTTACTGTCCTTCGATGACAGGTTTTTATAATATATACATATTCCATTACAATGTAAAATGTTCTCGTCACGATATGGCTGAAATATTGCCGATGTGACGTTAAATATTAACTCACTCACTCATCAATCGATTGGTGCACTCCATGCATAGACGCTGTGCTGTAGCTATTGCCGCTCGTGGTAGTCACACTAGGTAGATACTGGAGTCAAGACTCTGAATTGACAGTAAACGTTCACGTAATGTCTTGGAATTGTGCTGAGTTATTCATTGATGTATCAAGATATTGTACACAAAAATGTTTTTGATCCGCTTATTATGTCCATTTCTGTAATGATTTGATTACAGTGCCCATCTAATTTTGAATTCGTACTGACGGTTGTTTTTGCTGCTGAGTACATATCGTTATCATTTTTCCAGGGGTTACTAAAAGTTTCTACATCAAGAATGTCAATTAAGTCTTCAATCAGTCTGTCTCTTCCATACTGCGTTTCATTACAATAAAGAAATACATGTTTAACAATGTCATAGGCAAACGTACCACAAAGACATTCATGAGATTGAATTGCGTAAGTGCTGATATGTAATAGTATTGCAATATAAAAAAAATCTTTATTCTAACGTAAGATACCATAACCTGCTCGGACAGTTTTCATAAGTAAGATGATACCGTGCTAAAGCTGAGAGAAAGTTCTGAGATAATATATACTACCCATCAAAAGTTTAGACTCACTAGTGTAAATGTAGCCACTTATTTCAGTCAACTGACCTAAACTAGATTTTGCAAAATATTCTATACAGTTTAAAGATACTTTTTACACATGAACTGATGTATTGTAAAACAAATTTGTAACGTTGAAAAGATTAGTGTACTGAGTTCAATAAATGATGAAACTTAGTGAAAATTGGTCAATTCTTAACAAAACTTTACACCAAAACGCAGCTGTTCACATGCTCGATATTTGCACATGCTTTTCAGCAATTTGACGCATAATCCTCGTGCAGTTTATCTGCATAAGGTTTGCAGTAGGTTCCCCTAAGTTGGTGGAGGAATTCAGCTTCGATGTAACCACATATATATACATAACATGTAATGAGTGCTTTAAGTGAGTCTAAACTTTTGATGGGTAGTATATTTGTTGTCTGCTTCATGAATAACAGTTTAAACTGATGGTTGTACAAAATGTCACTACTGTTATTGAGTCACTACCATAACAATTAGTGCAAATGTCGGTACCATGACATTATCAATTTCCTTATTTAATTAAACTTCATTTATCTGTTTATGCCTGAATTTGGCAGTGCAAGCATGTTTGGTAGTAGAGCTTGAAGTAAGCATAATACAATTCACATTCTCATTTTGAATTTTTTTACTGCATATCACTTTATATTTGCAAATCAGAATTAAAAGGCATTTTTTTGCTTGTTGGCCCATTTTAAGCAATAAATATAAAATTTCAAAACTCATTAGCCATGTTATATTGTAAAACTACACTTTTGAATATTCATGTACATTAAATATACGTTAAGCTTGCATAATTTATGTTTTGTATATTCAGAATAATATGAACGCAATTAACAATATTTCAAGGTGAAACAAGAAAACAAAGTTTACATGTTTTTGCCTACATGAAATATGCACGAATTGATATTATATATTTCAGATTTATTAACTGGCTACTCTTTTCTCTACTAAAATCTCTACTCTGCTAAGTGACTATTAACTATTTTATTACTAAAAAAACCACCTTCGGTGGTACAAGAGCATATATTCATGTACAGTTCATATGCATGCGTCTTAGATAGACAACTGAATGCAATAGATGATTCTTTATACGTATGTACAGTTCCCTATACATAAATAAGTGCATATATTAACAGGTAGATAAATACAAACGCTATTAAAGACTGGCTAACATTTTTTGCAACTGTATGATAAAATTTGACAAAATTTCTTATATCTAGTAGGAGTCGGCGAAAGAACAAAGACTAATTTAGATGTGTTGTTGAGACATTTTGTGGTGGGTATATATTGTTCAGGATATGAATTTAGTGCTGGACATTTAAGAATACAGAGTAATTCATCACCGATTACATTTAAGTTACAAAGTGTACAATATCTTTCATCCTTAGTCAGGTGATGTATCATTATCTGTTGTTTCAGTTCAGCGCACTTCCCGGGCTATCCTATTACCCGAAAAGGGGTTATGAGGAGTTGTAGTTTTAACAGTGTGTGGTAGTATTGGGATGTGGAAGTTTTGGGATATAACCCATCCAGACCACAGCCGCAACAAATAAACTGTAATAAATACGATCTAATTAACGCCTATTACCATCCTGTCACGGTCACGTGACTACCCTTCAAAAAATCATTTCGGCTTGTCAATTCAGTTACTATTAGTAAAAATACCTGATCTATGCCACCAACCAAAATCGTAATTAAAGATCTATTATATGTTTTCGAAAATCGCAAAAGAATTCCAGTATTGATCAATGAAGTTTCCACTATAAAAAGAGGTCAGTGATTTCCCATCAACACTCTTGACCTCACAATAAATATTGAAACATCTCATTGACGACTGATCATTGACTTAAATAATTCTCCAATGTATTTTTAAGGTAAGCTCTTTTGTACAACTCTATTAATTAAATCAGATAATGTCATGACTGACTATTTTTTAATAGAAAGTGGCAATATGATGTATACAGTGTATTTGCATGAACTTTGTCATGCATACTATCTCAGTCGTTATTGAATATGTAAGTGAAAAACATGTATTGTCATGATTAGTTGTGCCTATATTGCACTCATGCATCGACCCATTAGATGGATTGTTGCATCACTAATATGCTGATTGTGAATTAATATGAATAACTGGTTCAATGGCAAATATCATTTATTTAATATGATTTACATAAGGACAGCTGAGGTATAACTGAGATATGTGTTAAATATAATTTATATGAATGATTCCCGAATGATTATTGTATAATGCTAGGTTGAAAGAAAAAATATTGTATCTTATACATACAAGCTCTACCAATGACAAACTAATTCCCCATCAAAACATCTATATAAGATTATTAGTTTGAGATCTTTTGTGTACATGTTTTAATGTACAACAAACTTGAGCTCACAAAATTATTGAAACATCTCCTTGACTGATCACTGACCAAAGGAATATTCCATTCTATTTTGGGGATTAAAACTTGCTGTCCTGTAACAACCCGGATAAAAGTATGGGTTTTTCGCTAGTTGTGCTGTGCTCCGTTTGTTTTGGGCGGTGGGGTAGCCTAGTGGTTACAGCATTGGCTCGTCACGCCGAAGACCCGGGTTCGAATCCCCACATGGGCACAATGTGTGAAGCCCATTTCTGGTGTCCCCCGCCGTGATGTTGCTGGAATATTGCTAATAGCGGCGTGAAACCAAACTCAGTCACCAGTCAGTCCGTTCGTTTTAACTCTTCACTGAGCTTGTCCCACGTATTGGTACAACATGATTGATCACGTGGAACCTATTCCCGTGAATCGAATAACACAAACAACTCGTTTCAAAGGTAAACGTTACGATACCAATGTACATGTACCAAGACAAACAGATCCAATATTTCAGTAACAGGAATAGTTGAAATAATATTTTCACTTTGTTTCAGATGAGTTTCAAGTTTAAAAAATTAACGGCTCTGGCAGTTTTCGTTCTAGCGGCAGGGTTGCTGTATTTATCGTGGAATGGCGTTGAGAAGTAAGTACCGTATTTCCTCTAAGTTCAAGTTAGTGTTTGTTTCACACAAATAATCAGCTTTGCGTTTGGAGATTGCTTTTATATTGCATAAATCTGTATAATTCGCCTCGACATTTCATCAACACGGAGAATGCGCCACCAATTAAACGAAAGAAACATCGTTATTTGCGATAGTGAATCAGATAACTATCGAGTCGATATCATAAAGTACTACTCCCACCCGGTTCAGTGCTGGAAGAGGTGTGAGACAACATACCCATTTGAAAATCAAGGAAAGGATAGTAACGAAAGGTGGCTGCATGCGATTAGCAATGACCTAGACCTTTTCAATAACTCAAGGGCAGCTAATCTTAGGGCCTATTCCATTATGCTAAACCGGTTTTGGTTTCTGGAAAACCTTGCACTCGATTATGTCGAAACCTAAAACTGGGTTCTGAAACTTGGTCCCACTTTGGCCTCTTTGGTCGGTAAACTGAATGCACGGTGTATTTCATCAGAGGTGGGTTGAATGCACGGCCAGGTATGAAGGCGAACTTGCATTGACGCCCGGATATTTTAACCAGACAGGCGACCCCACGAAACGGAAATCATCATTTCAATGTTGCGGAATACTAATTATTGACTATTATCACTAGCGTTGAAACATAAGCAGTCACAAAAACTCTCACAAACACAAACAAACTGTTCATTTTCAGAATGTTAAATGTCCGACATATACATACATAAATATGACGTTTTTAAGAAGAAAGACAACGAAAACAGACAAATGAACAGGAATAACCCTTTGTAGGTCTTTAATTGCATTGGATCCCCGATCGCGTCATACTAAAAGACGTTAAAATATGGTACTTTTTGGTCCCTGCCTGGCGCTCGGCATTATTGGGTACAACAAGGACTGGTCGGCTCGGAGTCAGTATACTGTGAGTGGGGTATTCATGCTTCACTGCGGCATGGTATCTCAGTGGGCTAGCACTATAAAACCAGCTTAAGTCTGGGCTAGTACAAGCAGCCGCATATACACATACACACCTTATGCAAGTCGTCATATGAGCGAAACATTCTCAAGCACGAAGTAAAACACAATTTCACCTCACCTCACCTTTAATTGCATTGGAATCCAACTGAGCAAGGCACAGTGCAGACGATGGTATTAAGGTACTCTGCAGCTGTGGTCTCTATGTAGTCGAGTCTATCTTAGTCCTAAAATATGTGAGACAAAGGACAGATTACACTTAACATTAAGCTGGGAGATACCTATTTATGTTTTCTATTCGATAGGTTTCAGATCGCTCCAGAACACGTGCAACCAGGAAAAGGACATAAGGACCAATTACAACTCAACCTAAAACATGTGAAGACAGAAAGCGAAATCCTGAATAATGCCAACTTTAAAGATTCAAATCGTCATGCTTCAGGAAAGTTCTCAAAGTTATTCCTGATTGACAAACAGCATGTCTATGGACTTAATGAAGCAGTCAATGTCAAGATAGTGTTAAAGGATCGCAAAAATAGACCAAAAGCTCGAGGAGGAGATATGCTGGCTGTGTGGATGAAAGACAGAAGCAGAAGCGCTTCTTCCGCTGGATATGTTATTGACCACGACAATGGGACATATACGGGTGTTCTGCGCACCATGTGGACTGGGCGAGCTGTGATATATGTGGCAATATTGTCATCCAGAGAAAGGATGGCTTTTATATATAACACATTTAGAACCGGATTTTTTGGAAAGCATATTTATTGCTTGTTTGATGCAGGAAACCAAACAGAGACTACTGAGGGGTATTTGGATGAACGGTTTCACAAAAAGGCGCCCATTTGTAATTTGACTGCTGAAAATTGGGGTGTTCCGTTTTATTGTAGCAAACCTGAAAAACTTGGATTTGAGTGTCACCATTGGACTAGAGTTAACACAGTTCATTTTGTGCCAGTACCTACGGAGGTTGATACAAGTTGGTATAGATCGTAAGTAGTTATGTGATCCATGCTTTGAACGTGTTTTTGTGAGAAGGAGAGAATCCATTTTTCGTTCGTACGTGGTTGCACTTGTGTTCCAGGGACCGTAATGCCTTTTTCGGAACTGTGCAATTCCCAAAACCTGTTGAGATTTGGTTCGAATTCAATATTCGGGATGCTTATTCTGCTTGAGCTGTTACGAGTATGAGCACTCGTGGAGATAGGCGTTTGGTTGCAACATCGAGCACGGCATAGTGACAGACAAAGGAACGCATTTAATTGGATCCTTGATTTGAATCCATCATCATTCAAAAGACACAGCACATTGGCGCCACAATCAACTGGTCCAACTGTGGCCCCTGTATGACAATTAGTCCAGTTTCTTTTTGCAAAACTGTCAGACTTACTTTGACTCGGAAACATGTTATCTTTATAAATTGTTTTGATTGATGTGATTTTCTTAAACCACTTACCATATGTGAAGACACTTAGACAGATCCGTTAGCTTTACGAACATCACGGGTGACTAATAATCTGAGATCACATTGGAGAAACTATATGTAAGCCTCATGCTAAAAGCCAGAATTCAATTTAACAAATGAGCAAAATGATCGAAAGGGGTTTTGGAGTGTTCAGTGATGTGTGCTTAATTGATCATTTAGGCTAAACACACTCACTCACTCAGGCTTTTGACCTAAATGACATATTGTATTTGGGGGCGGTGGGGTAGCCTAATGGTTAAAGGGTGGGCTCGTCACGCCGAAGATCCGGGTTCGAATCCCCACATGGGCACAATGTGTGAAGCCCATTTCTGGTGTCCCCCGCCGTGATGTTGCTGGAATATGACTAAAAGCGGCGTAAAACTTAACTCAGTCAGTCATTTTGTATTTGAGTTTTAAACCATTTAATGTCTTGTTTGTAGATTAATTCATAATATACATTACTTTATCATTTCAGATGTGCCTTTGAGAAATTGCAGGATTGGACCTATATACGTATTTCGTCTGGTAAGTATTTTTTCCTTTTTACAGAAACACACACTCACACACATGAACTAACACAAAACAAGTATATAAAAACTATATACAAGACACACACAACATGCTACATGATGTGGAAGGAGCAAGCAGTATATGGCTCATGTAAGTCAAAAGAGTTATGAAATATTAGAGCTTTCAAATTAACACAATCAAAGAAATACTACTATGGACCTCAAGACACGTGGCCGGCTTTCGTAAACATGTTTAAACACTTGTGTCAAGGCTCACGGAGAAGCTACACTGGCCTTCCAACCATAAACCCCACCATCTTTTAACTCACCAACCCAAACATCAGTTGACCTCAACCATTCTCAACCCTCACCTGAACCTTAATTGACCTTAAATAACCTCAAACACTCCAGTTATTTTGTCATATCCATGAGATTTTGTTGATAATATGTGAGAATGCTTTGCAAATCAACTTCCCATCTATGCCCCACCACCCTCCCTGAACATGGAGTGGTCGGGACATTGTCCTTCTTATTTTATTTGCAATTACGATGGATTATCAATACATTCTTTCAATATTTCAGTGAAAGCTAGGGCAGTGTCTTCATCAACTCCATGTGGAAAGACACAGTTTCGTGACAGCTGGGTGACACCTTCCCCCGTTGGCTTCTACTACAACTCAACATGGAGACAACGTGGGTGTTTCAACATTATATCAAAAATGACTATAACCAATGCTTGACCAACAGGTCACTGAGAATGTTTGGCGACTCGACTGTCAGACAGTTTTTTACAGTCTTGTGCAAAACTCTGAATCTTAAAATGAGAACAGGACCCTGGTTTCTTGGACAGAAATTAACCTCACACAAACAGTACTACTACATGGAGGCCCATGAAGAAAGGCACAACTATACTGTTGCTTGGATTCCCCATGGTCTCCCGATGTCCTATTTCAATGCCAATAGGACTGCGAGTAGACCGGTATTTGTCCGTTTAGATGAAATACCTTCAGGGTCAAGAGACATCATCGTCATCAATCTATACGCTCATTTCAACCTGTTTCCTGTGCACATGTTTAGGGATCAAATGAAACGCACGCGGATTTCAATACAGAAACTATTGATACGATCTCCTGATATTAAAATAGCTATTAAAGGACCCCACAATTACATACATCCCGTAAGCAATCATACTCTTGGTGGGTTGTGGGGACCTATATACCAAAACATCATCAAACAGGAGTTTGTTACTTTGTATGACCGGGTGTTTTATCTCGATGTCTGGGACATGACAATTGCTGTTGAGAGTTCTAATGTTCATCCGAATGAACATGTTGTGAATACGATGATTCGCACATTTCTTGGATATCTCTGTGTTGAATAAAGAACTGATACCACAGACAGAACAGTCTACCCATGTTATCTATTTCTTGGATATCTCTGTGTCGAATAAAGAACATATACCACAGACAGAACGGTCAATCATCCATGTCATCTATTTCTTGGATAGTTCTGTGTCGAATAAAGAACATATACCACAGACAGAACAGTCTACCCATGTCAACTATTTCTTTGATAGTTATGTGTCGCATAAAGAACATATACCACAGACAGAACAGTCTACCCATGTCAACTATTTCTTTGATATCTCTGTGTCGAATAAAGAACATATACCACAGACAGAACAGTCTATCCATGTCATCTATTTGTGGATAGCTCTGTGTCGAATAAAGAACTCATACCACAGACAATAAACCACAATAAAAAAAACAATACTACAGACAGGGCGGTCAGTCGTCCATGTCATCAATTTATTGGTTATCTCCGTGTCGAACATAGAACTCATACCACAGACATAACGGTCTAACCATGTCAACTATTTCTTTGATAGCTCTGTGTCGAATAAAAAACATATACCACAGACAGAACAGTCTATTCATGTCATCTATTTCCTGGATAGCTCTGTGCCGAACAAAGAATTTATACCACAGACAAAACGGTCAATTATCCATATTATCTATTTCTTGGAAAGCTCTGTGTCGAATAAAGAACTTATACCACCGAAAATACGGTCAATTATCCATGTCATCTTTTCCTTGGGTGACTCTGTGTCGAATAAAGAACTCATACCACAGACATAACGGTCTATCCATGTCAACTATTTCTTTGATATCTTAGTATCGAATAAAGAACATATACTGCTGACATAACTGCCAATGATCGTATTTCATTTTATAACCGTTTACTGATATTCATTTTCTGACAGATATCTGATGTGAGGATGTCCTCTGCAGAATGTTACATGATCTCTGGTTGATATGTGGTATGTTATTACCACATACCTAACCTCTAAATCTCGCACAAGCAGAAAACATTTAGAATTAGAAAGGATGTGTTTGTACAAAACAGTAACGACCTTTGTCATCAAGTAATTTGATATAGGTTTACGTGTCGCTATGAACCATACACATATGCATTGAACAAACTACGCATCGATAAAATCTGAAAAGAAAAGGTAGACAAATCACGATCCCGACAGTGCTTTCACGGCAGTAGCATTGCAATTATCTCCCTTTAACCACTTACATTATTCCTGATATCTCACTCATAACCCGTAGTCTCCACTTTATCATGGCTGCCACAGGAACACAAATATTATTGGTACAAATGCATTTCTGTTTCTTGGAACTTGGAAACGAAAGAATAATGTAAGACAGGGTACGTGTTTTGTAGTCAGGCGGGAGCGGAATAATATATATTAATTAATATTTTATGGCCTAAACTAGCGAATATGGTGTCGAGTAAAACTTCAGACATGCTCATTTTAGCCGAAGTGGTCGGTTAGAATTTTGTTTGAATGAATATGCTAGCCGTATATGATATCGTATCATGTAGAAACTCACTGGTCTGTGATTATTTCTATAACTGACGGTGTAGCTGCGAATTGATGCGGCTTTGAGCACTATTTTATCACTCACTGACGTTAATATATTTTCCAGCTTCCCGACACTTTTATTTTCACTTTTATTGGACATTCATATTCACAATTTCGTTATATTTAATATGTTAGGGATTTTTAAGCACATAGGAAATCGTAACAACGGCAGCGGACTTATATACTCTACACTTCGTGTATGTAAATTACATAGCATTTTCAAGCTATCATAATTTTGCTAAATGCTACTTTGGAAATGAAAACCATGAAAGAAGCATGACTACAGCACTACTAAGATGCGCATTCGCCTTGACCGTATGATATTACGCATGCGCAACGACAGCGTCTAAAACGCGTTCTCGCGAGAACGCGAGAAAATGAAATGTCGCTTTCTCGCGATTTCGTGTTTTTGTGGCCTTATTTGACAAGTCGAGATTGCGAGATTTGACAGCATGTACAAATGTCGCATTCTCACGTTGTCAACTTTTGACAAAAAGTGCTATGTACCAAAAACACTTTTAGCATTTTTATCTTGTTTCCAAAGGTCGAGATCGCGAGAATATCCCTTACAGTATTCAATAGAAACCTCAGGGTTCAATTCCCCATTTTTGGTGTCCCCTGTCGTGACATTGCTGGAATATTGCTAAAGGTGGCGTAAGATTAAGTTCACTCACTCATTACATTTTTCCTTCCATTGATATCTGTCCGGTTGCCTGAAATGCTATAACTATCAGACAAAGTCTAAATGGAATTATGCATCCATTGTCATGAATGTAGAAATAATTCTACTGTCGCACTGTGTGTACAGTAACAAAGGTTGACCTTCTATAAGACAGAGTCCAATATTACTTGACAATATCTCCATGCTAGTATTTTAATAGTGCCAGGTTATTCTCCCAGCGTATATTTTGCCCACCAATTCCTATCTATTGTCATTCCAGAGGTTATATATGTCCTGAATGTGTAATATTTTGCATATTTTGCATATTTTACATATATCAAGTAACAAAATCAAGAATGTGTAATATTATGCATATGTTAAATATGTCATGTAACAATGTCATAAATGTGCAATATCATACATATTTTACATTTGTTATACATGTATAACAAAATATTGAGTGTTTTTTACTATACATGTCGCATAACAAAATCAAGAATATGTAGTACTATACCTATTTTACATATATAATGCAAAAAAAATCATAGATGTGAAATATTTTAGACATTTTACATTATTTTGTCATATGACAAAACCTGATTGTGTGATAGCATACATATTTTAAATTTGTTATATTACAAAATAATGTGTAATATTATACATAACACATAACAAAATCATAAATGCGTAATATTATACATATCTTACATAATTCATGAACAAAATCATGAATGTGTCATAGTGTACACATTTACATTTGTTAAGCTACAAAATATTGACTGTGCACATGACAGATAACAAAATCAGGAATGTGGAATATTTTACATAGTTTTCATGTGACATAAGAAAATCATGAAAGCGTAATATTATACATATATTTCATGTAGAAATTTCTTGAATGTGTAATAGTACATCTGTGTTACATTTGTTGTGTTACAAAAGATCATGAATGTGTAATATCATACTTGTCATATAACAAAATCATGTAAATAAATGTACTATTTTACATAAGTTAAATATGCCATGTAACAACATCATGGATGTGTAATATTATACATATCTTACATATGTAGTATAACAAAACCATGAATGTGCAATATTATACATGTTACTTATGTCATTTCACAAAATCCAGATCTGAATGTGTTATATTTTACATATGTCATATAACAATATCCCAATATAATAATATGATATCACGCATGTTTTACATTTATTGTATCACATAATATTGAATGTGTCATACCATACATGTCGTTTAACAAGATCCTGCATATGTAATATCATACATGTTTACGTGTGTTATAGAGCAATGCTAAGCATGTTATCTAAGAACGTCCTGAAAATATTATACACATTTTATATTTCCCCGGCTTATCTGCTTCATCACCTGTGCTAATTGTTGTTCTAATCCCCAACTGGCCTCATCCAATTATGTACCTCTTGCTATTCAATTACAAGCTGTTGTTAGTGTTAATTCGAAACACACTATGTATATATACTTCTCCACACTTAGTTCTAATCACTTTTAGCTTGTAAACGATGTAAGAATCTACACTGAAACGTCGCTCTGTGCAATAAAAAAGACGTTGTTATCGATAAAGTTGCACGTTTTATTATTGACTCACCAACTTTTACAATACGGATCAAACAATCAACGTTTATCATATGTCCTTATTAAAAAACCTGAAGGTGTAATATCAAAATATTCTACATTTGTCATCTTAAAAACCCTGTATATTTTGTCTTAAAATTTGTACCCACGCTGTCGACTTATTTCTTTTTATTCTGATTTAAGAGAGGAGGCTGATTTTAGGTTTGCGTTGAAACCATTTGACATACAAATATAGGCATTAACATACAGAAATGCGACACGGGATGACAGTGAATATGAGCATAGTATGCTTGATGTGGGACCGCTGGACCACTGACAATCACCTCCGATGTGCTGCTTGGCCATTGCTTAACTTTACATTAGACATAAAAACCGTGGCCACCTGATGGACTCAGGTGGTTGAACAGACATTTCAAACAGCCTGAGATAAAAGTTGTAAACGTATTTTATATGGATAAACTATCGCTTATATATATGCATAAATGTCTGCATTAATATATGTTTTTACCGTCTCGCGTAACTAGTGATGGGCGCTGTACCATTATTCTTACTGTACCAATTCTTTTTTCTCTATATACGTTTTTTGTAAGATGTACAGCGGTGAGACGTAAATAAAATATTTGTCTGTCTGTATGTCTCGGCTGAATGCTTGGAATACTTCAAACTATCTCTACCTGGACCTTGACTAACAACTGAAGAAAAGGAAAAACGGTAAAGCAAGGATATTCGAATGCGGAAGTACAAACGGTGTGTCACTGTGACAACAGGTGGAATCTGGAGGCTGTCAAGGTGTGACTTATGTGTAAATACATGTCTGACCCCGTCAACTATGTTATATATTGTCACATTGTTGGTGCAAAGTACTCTGAAATACATACAATACATGTAATACAATGTATATGCAACAGCTTACAATACATTGTAATACAAACAATTCCATGGTCTCGCTGACTATGCATATGTCGTACATTAATTAATTAAAAACGTGTGAAATTGGTTCAGTTTCACGATGATGTGTTGATAATATTTTTATTCAGAAGTATAAGGCTTGTGTCATAAAAATAGACTACGTGAGTGTAATCACCTTAACAATGCTCAAACATCGATGCCCTGCTTGTCAAACAACAATCACATATTGCTCCTCCTCGTTCAATACCTGATATAACTTCACAGGTGAATGAAAGAGAGGGAAACACTATCCACTCAATTGTGTTCTCAGTCCTGTTTTGCTTTCCACGCATTTGTTTGCGAGTTATATCGATTTCATATAATTGTGTTAACTCATAGTCATCGAATCAGCATGCATGAACTGGCTCGCCTGCGATTTGACGGATCACGCGATTGGTTACAATACCGTTTAAGGCAATACCTGTGCACATTTATACCGGTATGTGGGAGTGGTTACTGCTCACACGAGGTCATTCAGTGAACAGGCAAGGCATTCATACACTGAGCACTGACAGGGGATGGCCATGTGTTTTGTCAACTCTCGAGGGATTTGAGGGATTGTGGAAACGCTCGACTGTGTAAGTTTTATCTATTTTCTCTGTCCATACAATTCACCAGAAAGCCGTGTTTGTGTAAATGAGTAAGTTAACCAGGAAACCAGCCAGAAACAATATCATTCAGTCGCTGTCATTGTGACCTGACACAACGATACTGTTATGCCATATTTAGATACCTTTCGAACCAGTAGTATATACTTTACACAGTTGTCCAACAAGGACACACCATAGCGATCTCTTCAGTTATAGGAGTCTTTCTTCTTATGTACAGTTATAAGGAATTCGGATTTTATAGATTTAGAATTTTCTGTCTTATAAACATTCCATTTCTGCGGTTGTCATGTCACATGTCCATTCTTGACGATTGCAAGCTTAAAGAGAAACATCTCGATTTCACACATGGCAATTGCCACGACCGGTTTCCTCTACATAAGCATAAACAAAGAAGCATATTTCAACTGATAGCGCGGCCCTATGTGTATATTTGACGACTCAACGTCCCCGCACTGGCGATACTACAAGCAACGCATGCACTGTATAAGATATCGCGTAACAAAACTAAAAATAACTCAAATATAACCTGTCCAGTTGCAAGCTGAGTTTGTTATGCGTTTCCACTTGGCCCGAACAGTGCTTGTATAGTATTTGTTCTTGTTGAGTGCACTTGCAAGTAGTGCATATCTGAACGGCCTGGAAATATGAAAAGACTTGTTTAAATATTGTTCTTGTGGGAGGGGCATCCGAAGGAGGGAGGGGTGGTATTGCGGTGGCACAGGTTGTCATAGTTTGTACTTTAACATCTTTCTCGCACCTGTATTTCACCGGGTTGAAGTGTGGGATAAGTCACCCCCGGGACGGTAGGGTAGCCTCGTGGTTTAGAGCTTTCGCTGGTCACGTCATGTCGATTCCCCAAAGTATGTAGCCCATTTCTGGATTCCCCCGCCGTGATTTTGCTGGAGTATTGGAGTAAAAGCGGCGTAAACTGACTCTCACACTCCAACTAATCACCAGCTACAAATGTAATTTGGACGATGTCTTATCGGTTCTATTTCTTTATTTCAGGCTGCATTATGAACGAGTGGGTGAAAGCTGTCCTTGTGTCCACATTGATTTTGAACGTAACTGTCGGAATTGTTGTTGCTTGCCTACTGGTAACAAGACTAAATAATGAACAACAAGTACATGAAGGTTCTGTCTCATCTCAGATTTGACCAGATCAGTACAAATATGTCTTTCATTCTTAATATTGTATTGATATATAAAATATGTACCAGATTTGATTGGAAATGATATTAATAATCGAAATAGAGGGAATGATGACTAAAAATAATATTCTATTTAGGATGTTTTGCAGTATATCATGTATTCTTTGAAATATAATGCTGTTTAAATTAGTGTAGTTGTTCTCAAATGGGCATTATGAAATTGTCGAAGAATTGTTTCTGCGTAAAACTGAAATAAAAAATATGGCTCGGAATATACATCCTAACCAAACACATTGATATATGTGTTATTGGAGATTTACACGGAACTGCTAGAAAACGTTCATGGGAAGCCCGAGGATAAAACTAACGGTGAGTTGATGTTTGAACCTCTGATATGTGTTTTAATACATTAACGGTAGGATCAATGTGTATTCCTAAGTGCAAAATGACTAGAATGTAAAGTATATATTGTAGGTTTATTTTTGGCATATGTAATGGACCTGTTAGGTACGTATCCCAAGTATTCGCTCGAAGTTACCTTTGGGTTACAGTGTTAATGTGTTACAGATGTGGGACCAATGAACACATCCTCGCAGATGGCAAACCTACTGAAACCTAAAGCATTCTACACAGGGCTTAACAACACTGGACTTGAGAAAGGTATGGACTTGTCGTTTTACCCCTATGAACCACATGATAATTAGATCACATATGTACATATTACCTACATTTTAAAAACATAGTGATATTGTAATACATTTTCCTGTTATAACCTTCGTGTTGCCTCCATCATACATTAGTAGAGTGGGCGTTGATTTCATACACAAATTTCAGCAACTTGTGTGTTCCAAAATATGACACGCTAACACGACATATGGCTTACAGTTTTATATTTTCAATGTTGATTTGCATCAAGATTGGGATTTTTCGCAAGAAAATGGCTTAAAAGCAGAGAAGATATTAATTTAATTCCTAGGCTTGGTTCATTCTACAGAAGACGTCCGCAGAGTCACACCTGCAAGAGGATGGGCTGCCCAAACTATGGTTGAGCCGGAAAGACAGGTTCTGTTTAACGGGATGCAGAATGATCATGGGAGCATCAGTGTCCCTGCTGCCGGTGTGTATATGGTATATAGCCATGTTACATTTCACACTGATGACGAGTCTGATTTCCTTCACCACATAACCAGATACAATGCAGAGAAACAGGAGGAAGACACACCTTTTCAGGACATAGTCAGTAGAAATAGGCACAACTTGACCGCCCGAGGTCTGGTGTTGGCAAGTGACATCCATGGGATACTGGAGCTCAATGCTGGGGATCAGCTTCGTGTTGACATATCAAGAGTAACTCAGTCTGGCTACGAGAAGGATTGGTATTACTTTGGACTATACAGGATCTGAACTACTTCTTCTTGTTGGCGATTTAATAGGTCGTTTGTTATGAAGGGAACAGATTTTACATGGCTGAATTTTCTCATTGAGGTACATCTGTTATACAAAACAAAACAAATAAAGACAGGCTTAGAGTATATAATGTTTATAGATCATGTTAAAGCTACCTTGAACGTTAGGTTCAACACTGCATGTTATGATCAGTTTTTGTGTCCATCACATGTAAATACTAGTATGGATATGGATAGCAAAAACCTTGATCACCTTGGAAGTCCCGCATGGCATAGCGATTTCCAGAAAAAAAGCATGTAGTCCAAACTGTGTTTGATGTTTCGTTTTACTCTTGTGTGGTGAATGTTTTACGCATTTTTCCAGAATGAAAACGATGACTTCTTCCTGGAAACAGTACTCATGCGATTACTCTTAGAGATATATTCTTAAAACATAATATCCTTGGTATAGTCCACTTAAAAGATTACCTATGATATTAGTTCCTGTGGAAGGGGTGCGAGGAAAGGGGCAGAAGTTTGGGTTGGGTGGTGGGTGGGGATGAGTGGTTATTCTTACATAGATACATTTATATCCATCTCTGCTCTACCACTAACAGAGTCTTTACTCCTCTCTCATTATACCTCTCTAATCCCACGTTATTTCGTTCTGGGTTGGGTGTGTTGGTACATAAGCGGACATGGGTGGGGTCATAATTGAATGAATGTTATAATAATCAAGTAATACAACGGCTTTGGAAACTAGAAACGGACAGTACACACATTTGATAGTCTAGGGGAATCAAAACTGTTTCCGCTTGACAAGCGAACCCGGTGTGCAAATAAGCCATTCACCGCTCCTGCGTTGACAACACACTTAACAGCTCACTGTGACGTCACTGTAACTCTACACAAAGCGAAGGCAGTAACTGCAGGTCGCATCATAGACTATGCTTAGAAAGCCACTTAATCGATACCTCATTTTTGTTATGAAACATGTTTGAAATTGCAACTTGTCTAATATGAACATTACTTGTTAAATAGATCGGGTATTTAATTGTTACGTTTTATTATTTAATTAAAAATGCCTTAAACTCAATAGTGCTTCGGCACAAATGTATTCTTGCGCAGCTTTGGACGACGACATATGAAGGTTAGTAAATTCAAATGTGTTCCTAACGTCAGCAAGGAATGAACGTCAGTTGAGAACAGAAAGAAATAGTAGTTGTCTCCAAGAACGTTCCTAATTTTGGGAGGGTAGATAATGAGTGATTATTTCTCGAGGGAACGCGGAGATGAAGTAACTATTTTGACCGCCTTTTTCCTGATATCCAGAGCTAGGGCATAAGCAGAGTCGTGCGCGACTGGCCTGCATTGTTGTTAGTTGTAGTTAGTTGTAGTGTGTGCATACTCATGACGTCAAACTAACGCACCGGGTGCAGAAAATGAAATCTATATATGCTTTCCATATGTGTCCAATATAACGCATTCATACATATTCATGTATTTATTTTTATAGCGTGTTTCCTTGATGCAATACGTTTCCTCAATCAAATCAACTTTTTATCCTAGAGCTAAACAGGTTGATATGCCAAATATATGAAGGTTTCGACCATTTTGTGTTTTACAGTAACCATACAATATCTCAAAAGTAGTACTACATTTATGCTACATGTATGAAACAAAGCTTTGATATTGAATTTCTAACAAGATATATGACGACATCTGAATGGGTCATTGAACATGATTTCCGTATTCTGCACCCGAAGCGGGAACTAAACCTCGGCGTCTACGGGAGACGTAATCTATACGTTACCTTTGTTTGTGTGTTGCTGAATGCCGCACTCAGCAATATTCCAGCAATATGGAGGCAGTCTGTAAATTATCGAATCTGAACCAGACAATCCAGTGATCAACAGCCCGAGCATCAGTCTGGCCATCCGATCCCGTTAATCGTCTTTTACCACAAGCATGGGTTTCTGAAGACCATCCATGCAGGCAGCAAAAGTAATGTAAGTCCCCATGGGCCCTAGTATGGTGATCTACCTTCAGTTGTTGGCGATCAGTAGCCCAGATAAAGATATATGCTAGCTAGTTTTAGCTCAATCTGTGATAATCTAGTGGTTTACTGTCCTTCGTTGACAGGGTTATATATTATATGTATGTATTATGAATTTCGAACTAGTCACGATATGGCTGAAATATTGCCGATGTGACTTTAAAGCTTAACTTACTCACTCACTCACTCTGAAGACCAATCACTGGTCTTCTGCTGAAATTAAACTGTATTCATTTATGGAAAGTTTGACATCAACACCGAATAGTTTGGATGTTATGTATCAGTCATTGATTGTGGCTGTTTAGAATGTACAAAACATATGATTTGATGGCATTTCCTTGTCAAAATGTCAAAGAAATAGTTCCGCGCCCATGTGTTAAAGACTGGTATGATTAACAAGTGACCATTGCTGACAAGCATCTGAGCGTTTAAAAAATAGCATGACCACACATATGTGTTTTCAAACAGAAAAAATGCACTAGTTAGTGGATTTTGCGTTTTCTAAAGCATGGGTGCATACAGTGCGTGTTTGTCTGCCTGTGCGTGCGAGTTGGTCCATGTGGGCTGTTTGGATAAGTCAGGGAAAATCCAGTTTTACAGCGGGGATCCAATGAGGTACCATGCCGGAACTTTAAATAGTAGATAATAAATAACCATATATTTCTATTATTAATATAAATCACCACAATTCACTGTAAAGTGAATGCATTATTTCTTAAGCGAAGTAGGCATTTCGTTGTTTACAAATATGCATATTGATTTAATAAATCATTTAATCTACGATCTATGTATGATTCTTAATAACCATAAAGGTTATGTTGAATGCTTCAAGTGAATATAAAACCAATAATTACTGCACATATTGGTTCAGGTACTTTATATATTTACAGAAACCCTAAACTGTTTTACATCTACAGAAAACCTAAACCCATAATTTAAGGATTATATGATTCATGATATGTCTCATATATACCTTACACGTGACCTCTGTTCACCCAGCAGAAACTATGTACCCGGTGAGATAAGTCATATGACTAGTAACCTTCTAGCGCCCCACAGGCAGGTTAGCCTATCCGGGATAATAATGTCCCTTATGCTGTATGCGCTTAGAGCATGTTCCAGCGGCGGGATTGCACCGCGGTATGTGTGCCCTCATTGTCAATAACATTATACAAGCTGATACAAGCGCGCACTAGGCGTTGTTTGACCTTTAAGTGGGTCAGAGAGAAACAAGGCGATGCAACGTTTACTCGCTTTATTTTTTACAGAAAAGATCAACATCTCACGTCATTGACGTTAAACACAAGCATGTACTAAATCATTGCATCAACATCGTCAGTATTATGTCCAAAGGAAATTATAAGCACAAATGAAGCGAACTATATATCTATTTTTATCTATTGCATCCTTTTTATGGTTACATAAAATTACTGCTGGTCGCAAGCAATATGTGAAACAGGTAAGGATTTGTCTTTCTAAATTCATTTTGAAACATTCAGAATAATCAATAAATTCTTCTAATCCAGATACACGGTGTACAGAACAATAAGATTTCTCTGTTCATGGATCCAACAAAGGCTGTGCTGTATGAACAATCAGTTATAAACAGTCGTGTTGCATTGACTGTCAAGTATGTAATCACATATTCCCCGGCAAGTAAGAAATGTGATAAATTTTATAACAATGGCACAGGAAGTAATTTGATTTCACCATATCAGTTATAAAGCGGCACTATTTCTTGTCGCGCTATCTAGGTTATATGCTGCGCAGTTGCAAAACTTGTCACAGGCTAAATAAAGCGGAACTTGTCATAGGCTAAATAAAGAGGCAGGCTGGCATTAAATATGTATGGACTTGGGAAAAACCAGAAATGTCTAAAAATAGGAGGCGAACCTATTGTGGTGATATGACTCCATGAAAACTATTTCAGTTGTATTAATAGATGTGTATCGATCGTGTGAACATTGCGACATTGTGACAGCTGCTACCTAAGACGGATAATGTTGTACTAAACATAGCGCAATTTCGGAATGCCTTTTAGATTTGAATTCGCTCTCCTATGTTTAGGTCTCGCGTGGTAGCAGGGACCACATGTTTGCATTGCTGTGGATTCGGGCTTGTTATCGTCAAGTCATTCCTGAACGTAGATCGTGTTCTCTGATTGATAAAAGTATTTGAGTGAACGAATGATGAAATATTTGAATTTATAACGTGACGTTCAAGCATGTCCTGCTTGACTGTGTTGAGTATTCCATCACAAGGGATATCTCTTTCAAATAACGAACTATGAAGGATATTTTTAATAATGTCAGTTCTCATTTAATTATTGCATTTTTAAAAGAATTAGATTTGTTAAATGATTTGTAAATAGATAAATGGTATTTTAAACTTGGTAGTATAAATTTGCAACTGCGATTGTTAGTTGCTGTATCCTCGTAGGGGGTTAAAGTATCGTGAAATTATTGTCCTCTTGAGAGAAGTCCCAAAACTTTCAAAGTTAAATGTTTCCTTACCCGATTTTTTTAAACGTAGTATATTTGTTCCCATTCGGCTAAACTTTTCCTACAATCGCCAGCGGCTGAAGGGATGGTGTAAATCAAACTAGGGTCCATGCAGGTAGCAACGGCACTGTAAGCCCCATGGATCCTAGTATGGTGATCTACCTTCAGTTGTTGGCGATCTATAGCCCATTTTTACATTATATTGTCCAAAAATAATTTTCTACTTTTACAGATATACACTAGCTAGTTTTAACTCAATCTGTGATAATCTAGTGGTGTTATTGTCCTTCGTTGACAGGGTTTTATATATCATATGTATGTATTATGAATTTAGAACCAGATTTGGTCACGATATGGCTGAAATTTTGCCGATGTGACTTTCAATCTGAACTCACTCACTATAACGTGACGTTCGACTCCAAATGACGCAATTAGGGCTGTATCATCACAGTTATTATTAAATCAGGGTCCCGTTCCTCAAAGCAATCGTAGTACTAAGACAGTCGTAACTCACGGCCTTTAAAATAGATTTACGACTGTCGTAGAGCTACGATCGCTTTGAGGAACGGGGTGCCGGGAGACTTCCTAATTTCTTGTCATATGTAACTGTTTAGGTGACCCAGTGATGAATAATGCTAATTTTGGAAATAGACTTGGTGTCGTGTAAAATCGATATTCCCCGTAAAAGACATCCTTACATGTTCACATGTTCATTTGGTGTTTTTGAAGATACATTTGCATCAATCAAATCTATTTAGACACTGACCTGACCGGTAGTCGAGTTATTTTCCTTTGTTAAAACAGGATCATGAGTTCTCTTGAAAGACAAAGACATTTGTATGCTGTTACTTAAAGTGGTGATTCTTGTGACCGCTACGCAGATATATAATCAACAATAACCAGCAATTGTACATGACATATTTCTAAAAGAGTCCCCGTGGTTCCAATTATGGTGATACCACTTCAGTTGCCGGCGATCTGTAGCCCGTCTTTATGCTGTAATGTCCTAAATAGCATGTGCATATATAAATAGCACAATAGCATATATTAACTTACATGCAAGTCCCTAACTGTGATATACTTGTCGTTTTCTGTCTTACAATACAGTAAACTCCCTGGATCTCGAACTCCAAGGGACCATCAAGACAGGTTCGAGAAATCGTGTGATTCGAGATTGAAATACATTGTATATATGCACATTGTGTACATAGTACCACATACATTGAACTTGTATACGACAACGTAGAAAAAAACAAATCTCTAGTTTCATTCTTTTCACAGTAATCGTCATAATCATCATACACACGCTACATATTTAAAAGCATAAATTATGTGTAAATACAAACTGTATTCTAAAAATTTGTTACATGTATATCATCCTAAATTATTTAATTATGGCCTGCTTTTGTCACGATATGGATGAAATATTGCCAAAGTGACTTTAAATTTTAACTCACTCTCTCACTAATAGCTAAATTTGTCGTTTTATGGTTATATGCTAGTTTTATGTGATTAGTTGTTTTACTCTTCTTTGCAAACTGACTGACTGACTGACTTTAGTTTTACGCCGTTTTTAGCAATATTCCAGCAATATCACGGCGGGGGACACCAGAAATGGGCTTAACACATTGTGACTATGTGGGAAATCGAACCCGGGTCTTCGGCGAGACGAGCCAACGCTTTAACCACTAGGCTACCCCATCGCCCCTGTTCTTTGCAAACAGGTAAGTATACTAACATTAGTTTTTATTCATTCATAAATTCATACATTTTCATAGTCACGATATGGCTGAAATACTGCCGATGTCACTTTAAATTTAACTCACTCACTCACTATTTTATGTCCAATATCGTTTTAGAGACAAATGTCCGCACTGGCCAAATGAAACATCATGCGATGGAAGAAAGTCGTTGTGGGCGTTGTGCTCATCCTCAACATAGCTGTGGGAATCGCAGTTATTGGTGTTGTGGTGACAATCCAGCAGGAAGGTTATCCCTCTGCCACTCTTCGGAGCACTGCAGATAATTTGAAGAAACACCTCGAAGAAGTACGAATTAAAAAAAATATATATTGATTAAAATTCTATTAGAGAGAATTATAACCTTTTTATTCAGTCGTAAATGAAATATTGTCGGCTGCATTGAAAGTTTGCTGCAAACAGAAGACCTGGACTAAAAACTAGTCTCTGAAATGAACATATTTTACAGACAAAAACACTTCATAATGAAAAATATAATGACAGGGAGCCCTGAGACCATACTCTAGACTTGCATGGGCTTTCTTGGATATAGTAAAACTTGTTTCAGGGTCTGTATGACAGACTATCAGAAGACATTACATTAATGATTTGGTTCAATATTAATATATTAACTCTAAGTTTCTATTTTTCGTTGTTGTTTGTTCAAAACGAAAGTAAATATAATAAAAGTGATCGTGTGTTATCACTGAGAACTGATGTATCTATGAGGCTGAAAATGTATGAAAACAAATGTCGTTTAATCTACAAATGGAACAGCATGTCAATGATAACATAATGATTATTTCAGACTTATGCAGATCTTCGACAGACCCTGCTTCAACAACCTCCCAGTAAGTGGGTCTATTTTGCCCTAAGCTCGGTTCCTGTGAATGTTAAAGCCATCGCTTACAAAAATGAAACATGCATTATCAAATCTTATTTTCTCATTTATCAACAGAGTTTATCAATATAAACTTTTCATACAAGGTACATGGTATAGTTTTTTGTAGACAAGTGTAAAGGAATGTGATATTATGAATGTTTCTATTGATACAGGTCCACAACCGATCGCGACACAAGAACACTGGAATATCCTGAAACCTATCGCATTCTTTACGGGACTTGAATTTGATATTAACAAGGAAGGTATGTATCTCTCATGTTGTCGACATATTGTTTTCAGGTTAACATCGTTACGTTGCCGGGGAGATGTCTGTCCAGCATGCTACCATTCAGCAACTATGAGCATCGAGAAATCATTTGTAATCTTGTAAATATGCTCTATTTATATGCCTAACTAGAGCTTTCAAAACATACTGGTGACATGTTATGGTTGAAATATTATTTCCAAACTTGACTTAACAGTCACAAAAACTGTGTCCAATTCAGTTTCCCCTTTTCGACATTTAGTATTTACACGTGTTAATAATTGCCTGTATTTCGCCTTGTGTCATCGGTTTGGAAGAACGCGCTCGCGTATTGGCAACACCTGATGCGATCACTATTTGATCTGTTTGTAGTTTAAATTGCTTGGGATTGTGTACAATGTTCTTGTCACTTCTTATGCAGTAAAGCAAACTTTTAACCAAGGTATCGGGGACCGAAGGAATCGGATTGTTGACGTCAAAGGACAAGTGCTTCATCCATGCTTTTCCATGGGTCAACAGTCTGATTAAGTTATTTCTTCTAAATAGAGTTACCATAACTATAAACAGAGGTTTTGTTTGTTTTTTTATGTGCTCGTACCACACACACAATTCAAATCCTGTCTCACATGTATTGATATTATACGACCGACTCCGTGGTGTACTGGTCAGAGCGTCCCCCCGGAGAGCGGAAGTTCTCGGGTTCGATCCGGCCGCGTCATACCAAATGACGTTAGAATATGGTACTTGTTGGTCTCTGTCTGGCGCTCGGCATTAATGGGTACAACAAGGACTGGTAGGCTAGGAGTCAGTATAATGTGTCTGAGTGGGGTATTACTGCAGTATGGTATCTCAGTGAACTAGCACTATAAAACCAGCTTAATTCTGGGCTAGTACAAGCAGCCACACAGACGCATGCACGTCGTCATATGAGCGAAACAATCTAAAGTACGACGCTAAACCCCATTTCACCTCACATGATATTATACATCCTTGGTCACCGCACTTAATCTGTAATACTGACACACTTGTGCCTTCTTAACAGATATGCCTTCATCCACTGCAGTCAGGAACTGGGTGCCTTTCGTTGCACCAGGAGGCCGGCAGTACTTGTACAATGGTATGAAGTATGAAAACGGGAGTATTGTGGTCCCGGCCGCTGGAATATATGCTATATATGCCCATATGAAATTCTACACAGAATACAATCATCGCTCAGATCCCGAGTTAGATTTCCATCACAGCATAATAAGATACAATGCCGCAAATCAACAGCTGGAAACAGTATCGAGGAACATAGTGACCGAGAACAAGAACGATATCATTGATGGATCAAGTCTGGAATACTCCAGTGATATCCACGTGTTGGTGCAACTGAACGCTGGTGATCAGTTAATTGTAAATGTGTCGCATTCGGAACAGTTAAAGCCTGACAGGGATTGGCATTATTTCGGAGCTTATATTATTTAAGGTCAATCTCAACACCACAGTGCGCACTGCAAACCCCGGTAACATAAGTTTTACAAGGCGAGAGTTTATGGATGTCAACTTCTTAATTCTGAGGAACCCGACATTTCGGAGGTTAGGTAATGGAGTAAGGAGAATATATTCCGAAATGTCGTTTTTCTCAAAATAAATAAGTTGACATATTTAAATACTATATAGCCTTTAATGCGACTCACTAATGCTGTGCTGTTCAAAGACTTTAACCTAATAGCAGTCATATGCGGATCAAGAAGGGGGGAAGGGGGGGTGCACTCGTGCGCACCCCACTTTTGTCCTGAGAGTTTGTTCAGTGACCACTGAAACTCGGGTGAAAATGAGGTGTCCACCACCACCCTTTTCTCAATAGTGTGCACCCCCCGCACCACCCCCCACCCCCCTTCGCAAAAAGCTGCATCCACCCCTGGTAGTCTTCCTCCCGACCGTGCCCTTAACGGTACTTAACCTTAACCGTCCTATTCAGCCAACAAGGAGAGTTTTTTGTTCGCTATATCAATATCCAATCTCCAAATAAATCTTTCCAGATAATCGTCAACCCCAGGAGGCATTTAATGCCTCTACAGCAGTCATTTTGACGACGTCTCGTGTAATCCGCGTCTACCCTGTGATTGCTTCGACGAACTCCTTCTATTTTCCACGAAGGACAAGCAATCCGCGGCCATTTTCCACAACAGGAAATCGTAAGTATAACGCGTATACATAAACTAGTAATCATTACCTTGAAAGAAATTAGATTCTTAAGTCGAGAATGGAACATCTTTGTGTCAGTATTTGTACAAAAAGAAGGTAAAAGTTAATGGAGCATGATATAGTAAAACATATGTACAGACACTACACAAACGGGTTAGGAGAAACTGTAGAATCGTGTAAACATTTGTGTGTAAAAAATACATAATCGTGTTGTTACGTATACGTATATGTACGCAGGTAAATAAATACATACTCCCGCCCCTCCATGCCTATAAAGTACATGGGTATATAAGCATACCTTGCATAAGATACATATAGAGAAAGAAAATGTATGCACATATAAAATATACAATAAATACATGAATTTTATGAAATTACATATTAAGGTAAAAGCAGGTTAAAAGATGGCGCTAAATAGACAAAACAAAGTATACTTATTTACACTCAAAAAGATCTTAAGTTATTTTACTGTTATCTAAAACTCACCAAACAACTGCACTAATCTCACAACCTGCGCATATACATGTACATTGTAATCGCAGATTCGGCAAAGCTCGTACCGTGACGTAAGATAATGAGTTGCCTCCGGTTTTTTTGTGTTCGTGGGGGTGGCCCAGTCCATCCAAAGAAGGGCACCTTCAGAATTTCAAGGGTATAAAGGATCCATTCAGCGAAGAGGAAATTTCAGATACGGCAAAAATGGTATAAACGGTAAATACTCAACCGCGTACATTTGATACACCTTTTCGATAGTAAAGTCAGCAGAAATCATAAATAATGATGCGTTAGACATCGCTAATAAAAACAATTAAAAGTTTTTGCTTCGGGAGCTACGCTTTATAGATAAATGACAAAGGGAAAATGCTGTTTGTCAGTTGTTGTTTTTATAAACATTGTTTATCTGGATATATGTTTATCATCAGTCAAAGATCCTTGGCGGATCCTTGTCTAGGGTTTTTCAAGCAAAAAAACTGTTTTATAGAGATATACAATTGCACCTAATGAATTGACTAAAGTATTGTCGTTAAAGAAAATAGGTCAGTTGTGGGCTGTGGAATCGGAAGTTCACTGTGGCGCCGGCACGTTGAAGAATGACAATGAAAATTAATGGTTTTGAACAAATATGACTTAAACGTTTGTTTGCGGGAACCGGTGGGTTACAATATCAGGCCGTTTCAATCTCCATCTTGTGGGATCCAGATCTCAAGGAAGTAGGAGCGGGTATGGTTCAGTGTGTAAATCTCACTTAAACAGATCCTAGGTTCTACAAACCGAAACATGAGTCTCATTAACCAATACAGACAATGACCTACTTTTCAGCCGATCCTAATTTTCTCGTGTGCAATTGAAAAGAAACTCTACAATCAACTATGAATTCGAATTATTTGCTTCATAAGAAAATGGGATTTACAAGTTAATCTTAATGTTAGAGTTTAATAAAATCGTATTTCTACATTTTATGTCGAGGTTTAGTTAGCATGTCATTAACTAAGACGTCGCAGACTGCCCATGTTTGAAGAGGTCGTATATAATTCACAATTCATCTGTCACACTGGTTACACCTGTTTGTGCTATTTTGCGCTTATTAAATGCATTTTTGTAACATTACGAAAAACATTGAGTACACATCAGTCTCGTTTCTTGCTGACTGGGTTCCGTCCTATTGCGCAACTTAGTACAAAAACCAGTTCAGAATTCATTCAACTTGATATATAGATATTAATCAGTATTATTTGATAAGTGTAATCACTTGTATATTGCAACACTACGCTCCTTCTAACCCTTGCAAACACGTCGTGGTCGTGCAGCGTTCTCTGTCGTACAGCGTGCTCTGACAAACGGAAAACTGGAAATCGAGAGAATCTCAGATCGAGGCTCGGCCGTTAGACAAGTTTGGCGGTCTGGTGCGGTCTTGATATTATATCAGTCACATTGTACGTTACAAAAATACACTTAATAAAGGCAAAAAAAACACTATAACAGTTGTAACGAGTAAGCCAGATGAATAGTGAATCATTGTGCTACCTCTTGTAACAGGGGCAATCTGTTACGTCTTACACCCCCATTCCACTGACCATCGGAACCTCATCTGAAGCCGATCTGATCCCAATTATGTTACAATTTTGGCATTCCGATGAGTTCAGATGAAAATTGACTCGATATCCTTTTTGGGTGGACCCCTTTTCCGCAAAATCAGATACAGATCCAACATTGATCGGATTAATCGGATGAAAGACTGGTAGAGGCCCGATGTCTGTCCGACATATTCATTGGCGGCGTCCGACTGATCCAATTGCGGTCGGATTGTAAACCGAGGGTGACCTGACACTAATCTGACACTTCAAATACTCTCCCCACACCAATCCGACAAATCGGTTACTATTCGTTAGGTAATCCGACACTGACCAAATGCTGGTCGGATTTGTCGCCACAATCGGCAGTCGAGCGTAAACACGGGCTGCACCTCCTGACGGTACTAGTCATGGATCAACTCCCTCGCAACGCTGCAGCCCTGGGCTTTGTTTTATGCTGCAGCAACAAACTATGCAACAAGATGCAATGACCCTTGAGGTCTTGAGAAGGAATAGAAGACCACGTCGCTGTTGGGTTCGACCATGACTGCAAGCTGATAGAAGGATAATATACGGGCACTACATCAGACTAATGAATGAACTGAGAATGGAGGATACAACGACATTCTTCAATTTCTTGAGAGTTAGGCCAGTATTGTTTGATGTACTACTCCAGAGCCTCGCACCAAGACTCGCGAAGGCTGATACCAATACTCTTGAGAGCTCTTGAATCTGGTCTGAAGTTAACCTGCACCCTAAGGCACCTTGCAGTCGCTTCTTTGCCTTCTCTCCCCGAACATTTCAGTTCTTTCTTGGATCCATCTTCAGGATCTTGGTGTTCGATGAAAATCTGCTGAGTGAGTGTCGGCTGACCCTCCTTTGTAGTCCGTTGACCGTCAGATGTCACCGCTTGCTATGCTATGTCGGATGGCAGTTGAGTTAATGAGCGCTTATCCTCCGACGTCACAACGGGTTGCAATCAGTCGGTGCTAAATCACCCTCCGATGAGTTGAATTGGTGATGGGCGGCTATCATTCGCGTTCGGCAGACTGCAGATGGCAATCAGATGAGCGTCAGATGACTGTTAATCATCGGACACTTATCCGATTGCCGTCAGACGTCGGCTTGACACGTCCGATAGTTGCACAACACGAATCTGACACATATCGGACTGACTCGACATTCATCCGACATTGACTCGATTTTTTGCAACCGGAAATAGCGTCCGATGGCGAACTAAGCTCTGAGCTGAGTTCCTTCATTGGACGATTTTGCCTCGTCGGATCACGCCCGACACGTCGGACACTCACCTGATAGTCGACAAACACAAATCGGATTCATCGGACTGTGGTACGATACTCTTCCGTGGGTTACCGGATGGAAAAATCTTTGCTTCCGATGAATGACTGATGAGCCAGAAATCTCTGTGGAATGGGGGTGTTAGTTAACGAACGACATACTGACTAAACCTCGACATAAGAAATAGACATACGATTTCATTAAACTTTAAGATTAATTTGTAAATGCCATTTTCGTATGGAACAAGGAATTGGAATTCAGTGTAACCATAGTTGCTTGCAGTGTCTCTTTTCACTTTCACTCGAGAAAAATCGGATGGGCTGAAAAGGTCATTGTCTGAATTGGTTAATGAGACTCTTGTTTCGGTTTGATGATTTAATTAACCAAGGCGACTTCATGTAACCATAACAACCGACAGCAGGTAAATAATGCTGACCAAATGGAACGCCTATATATGATAAGCATGTTCCTGGAAGTTTCAAACGCTTTCGATATGAATTAGCTTAACGGACTCATAGAAAAACCCTAAAATGGCGTAGTTATATCTAATTTCTCTTCATTGGAGTAAGTGAGATTAATTTTACACTGCTTGTAGCAATATGATAGCAAGACGGCGGGCGACACCAGAAATGGGCGTCACCCATTGTGTCATGTTTGGAATCGAACCCGGGTCTTCGGCGTAACGAGCGAACGCTTTAACCACTTGGCTACCCACCACCTCACTCTTCGTTGGAAATAGAAATGGGCAGATACAGTAGTCCCCCTATTCCTCCACCAGAAAGTTAATGTAAAATTTGTATTGATGAAGTGCGTCGATGTTATAGTGATATTCCTCTCAATGAATAACAGGTTTTTAATTAATAATCGAGCTTTTGTTAATAATACACCAGATGGAACACGTAATCAATTAATGCATGCGTCAGCTACCCTTTATTAAGGTATAATAAATTTTCAAATATGTAGACGACAAACGCACGTTTCAAACGTTTAACTACGCAATTTTTACCAACTTTGTACATATTCTTTTACATTTACTATTCATTTCACAATTATGTAAATATATATAATATTCTAATGCATGTTTTAGTGAACAGTGTATCGTCGGAATATAATAACCTTGCATAAAACTATATGCGTATACCTACAATTTATATAAGGCACGTACATTCTGTGTGACATTTAAGGGATGTGTTGTTGTCACCCAATTGATATGTCCTGGGGAGGTAGGGGTGTCATCAATTTTGCACACATGCACAAGGGGTGGAGGTGAGCAATGTTTTTTTGTGCATGACTTGCAGAGGGTCACTTTGTATATAACACTAAGGGTTTTCTTTCACATTGTACATGCTTCTCAATAAAAATTGTCATCTATATCACCAACTAGATCAGCCACACGCACACAGCAAGGCACCGCACTCATATCCCTACAGGCATTAGCCGGCGAGACTCCAACTGCATACTCCATGAACAGCTGACAATAATATTCTGGGCATACTCCCATATAACCCATGAATCATAAACGAGTCATTTTATACACTAAAACAAACCCGAAACAAGCAGTTCATCCATTCCGTCCCCCAATAAACCACTGCATACTTGACTACCTAACAAAATACTAATAACCTAAAACAAAACTACCAGCCATGAAACATCTTCAAACCTAAACTACAACAACAAAAAACAACAACAAACAACCAAACAAAAAACAAAAACAACAACCCAAAAACAAACAAAAAACAACCAAATAAGAACAAATAACCCAAACACCACTAAAGCAATAACTCTAGGATACGAGTATTGACCTAATTAGTGCGACACAACGGGTCCTCTAGCCGGGGTTCATAACGCACTGGCTTCAACAGAAACATAGCACAACCTAATCACCAAACAACAAAATAAAATTATGATACTACCTTACTAAATACCACCTTACCCTTTCAAAGCAAAACTGAATAAACGAACAAAGTTAATAAATCACACATAATCTATTTTTTTAGACAAACACATCCAGTTCCTTTGGATTTTTCCCCACGCCAAAGTGTTTGGTAAAAATCACGCCGACCTAATAGCCAAAGTGACCCTCAACCTATGACAAATAAACGTAAATGCACCCTAAAATAATTACTAAAATTCTAATCCTGATCTGCAATACCCACTCATGTATTACATTGCAGTACTACATACACCAAAATAATATTACCTCGGAGATCACTCTCAAGAAACACTTCACTATATTTGCAATCACCCCTGATGCTTTTAAACAATACTTTTAAATCCATAAGGCATCTTATAATTTGAAACTGTCCTTCTCCACCGGACATAATTACACCCAAAATAGCACTAACGTTCTAAAAGCCTACATACCCCTTCCATCTTGAACGCACTGCTTATCATAACGGTGTTCATTAGCACGTCATTTTGGGTTTTGTTGTCCATATATTTTTCTCTCTAAATGTTTAGTCGTATACATGTTATGCTTTGGTATCAGTGTGGACAGACAAACTCATCTACTTTAGTTTTTTGTAACTGCTTTTATCAAACACTATGTAGACATTTCTAATGTATTTCTAGCCATTTAAGCCATTATAGGATATTGTACATATCTTTTCATCACGTGTTTTATTTGGTATTTAGATCTGCACTATTGGTTCAGTAGTGTGCTAAAGATAAGATTAAAGATAGATTAAAAAGAGGTACTAATAACGATGACAGCAAGAGCTGAGTTGACACACGCAGAAACATGTTAACTAAACCCATCCTAAAAACATTGGACTAAGGACCCCCTAGTATCACATTGTGTAATCTTGTAAGATCTCAAGAAATATGTTATTCAAAGACTAATATGTATTAGCTAAAAATCATAAACGACTTTAGAAAAATATATATTATTCCGAAGACATGAATTTTATAACAAATAGTGAATGCTTTATCCCAGAACATATATAAGAAACAAGAACCAACAATGCTTGAATTGATGTGTTACTTACTCGTACATCACGTGCTGGGGTCAGTTTATAGAGAAAAGTGAACATTTTGCTATCGATTGGAAATAAACCAAAAGTTCTTTCCATGCTTTGAAAGAAATGGAATACAGTAATGAACGATTTTGTTGATACTGATGGAAACTTAAGCAATATGTACTATAAACAACAAGTATGGGAACACCCTCAAATTTGATAGTCATATATACACTTAAACGTGGTGAGGTCACTTATGCTCTAAGGTAAATGCAACTTTTTGTGTGCTTAATGGACACTTTAAACGACATGTTGGAACATGCAGTGAAGCAACTGATTCAACATTCGTTGAGTTTGAGTGAAATGAAACACTGAAACGACAAGGGTGCTGAAACACACCAGCACCATGTTTGATTCAAACACAACAGCTTAGTGCATGTGGAAAACTTCCCATGCAGCCTATGGCAACTGGACACTGGCAGTTGTGAATCGGTTCCGAAGGGCTTGGGCCTCCTTGATGCTGACCTTTTTGTATGTTTTGGTCTTCCAGAGCGACGGCTGTTCTGTACTCTGCCAGTGGCCTGAAACCTGTCCCCCAGTCTGTGAATGACAGTCTGAGACACCTGTAGATGGAGAGCCACACTTCTTATGGATTCACCATCCTGTACCCATGCAATGACCCTGCTTCTGTTGTGGGCGCTTAACGGTCTGTTCCGTGGCATGGTGAAGAAGTTGTTAGGGGCTTCGATACTGTCAGTAGCTTCTTTTAAAGGAAACGTTGCCACAAGCTGCATGGGAAGTCTGTCTTCCACATGCACTAGGCAGTTGTCTTTGGTCGTTTGAATCAAACATGGTGCTGGTGTGTTTCAGCATCCTTGTTGGTTCAGTGTTTCATTTGGGCGTTTGAATCAAACATGGTGCTGGTGACATTGTTTTTAACAATGTTACATTTCAATCAAACTCAACGAATACTGAGTCAGTTGCTTCACTGCATGGTCCAACATGTTGTTCAAAGTACCCATTAAGCACACAAAAAGTCGCATTTACCTTAGAGTATAAATGACCTCACCACGTTTATCAAATTTGAGTTTGTCCCCATCCTTTAAAAGTGTTTGTTTGGAGTATGATTGCAAAACTAATTTTCGGGAAAAAGCAGGCATTATAAGACACATTGTAAACTTCAGTCAATATAGAAGGGAAAAGAATTATTCTTTATGTGCCAAATTGTATGTAAATGTTTACCTGTGTGTTGTCGTATACAGATCAAACTCGACATACACAATTGTAAATTGTGAATATATGAAATATGACGATAAAAAATGACAATGTATTGTCTTGTCCGTTCTCCTTCAATTTGTATCAGCTGTATGTACATGTAATGTGTACACTTCCACGCAATGCTTCGTCGTTACAGCTATGCAATTCCGCCTCATTGGTTGATTTGTTCTCTCATGTGCTCTCCTTCTCTCTCATGTTTTCAGGACAACATCCTTACGTCACCGGGCAGATACTTTTCCAACATGATACCATTCAGCAACTATAAGCATCGAGGAATCACTTGAAAATAGTTGGTTGTTGTTAAACGCCGCACTCAGCAATATGTCAGCTATATTGCGGCTGTCTGTAAATAATCGAGTCTGGCCCAGACAATCCAGTGATTAACAGCAAGAGCACCCATCTACGCAAAGGGAAATGATGACATGTGTCAACCATGTCAGCGTGCCTGACTATCCGATCCTAATAGTCGCCTCTCATGACAAGCATGGGTTGCTGAAGATCAATTTGCAACCCGGATCTTAACGGGTCGTCTCATATACGTAAAACACAGACCTACTAATCCTTTTAACCGGTTCTACAATGTGCGCATAGAGCCCCTTGATATGAAAGAAAATGGCTTAGGAATATCTGAGTTAAAGAGATTTTAGATTTGGATACAGGATAAGTGAGTGAGTAGTGTTTTACACTCACGGCATGTAGCAAAAGAAATAGTTTTCACACATTCTCCCCATGTTGGGATTCGAACCAAGTCTTCGTCGTGACGAGCAAGGACTTTAGCCACTTGGCTACCCAACCGACTGCTATACAGGATGAAGGAATGATGAACGCGTATTTGAAATTGACACTTATAAAAACTGCAGCATCTCTATGTTTTCAGGGATATGATAAACCTTTAACGAAAAACCCTGGCTGCTGAACCTTTTGCCAACAACAGTTACTGTGCAAAACCGTACTTTCTCATTGGAGTTGAGTTGAGTTGAGTTGGGCTTTACGTCACATATGCATTATTCCAGCATTATAGTGACGAGAATAAGTCTGCGTTAATAAACATTGTAAGTACAGAGTCAAAATGAGTTTTATTTGAAAAAACTTATATTCATTACATTGTCTTTTAATGACAGAAAAAGGCATATCACTAAATTGAAAAGCAGGCAATTTGTTAGTCACATTACACAGTTACAATTTATGATACAGATCAACTTCCCTCAGGTAGTTCACTATCAGATGAGCGCTCACGCGGGAGAACAGATCTTTCAGATTTGTTGCATCATAGTGTGAGTCGTGTAGGCAAAATAACATAACACAATATGAGAGTTAGAGGCAAACAGGTATATGGAAGATTGAGAGTAACCTAGAGCTGGCTGTGTGGTTTTGGTTAAAATTTAACGCCGCACTCAGCAATATTCCACCTATATGGGGGCGATGTATCGAGTCCGGACCAGACAATCCAGTGAACTACATCATCAACATCAATCTACCCAATTGAGACTCGAACATGTGTCAACCCACTCCGCGAGCTTGACCGCCCGATCCCTTTAGTCGCCTCTTGTGACAAGTATGGGCCACTGAAGATCAATTGTAACCTGGATCATCATGGGTAGGAGCTGTGTGAAGTATTCCGTGAAGTAACACATACGTTAGGCAAGGAACAATGGGTGATTTTTACACATTAGAAACGCAAGGAATAATAAAAGGCATGAATACGTCCACCATTTCATTTAAAATAAAACAATAATTGTCCTCTAATCGTAATATTTGCACGTCCATATGTTACCAAGGAATGTGGGCTTTGGGTACTGATGGATGCCGAATCATGTTTACATTGGAGTAAATATGCGCAAGAGCTACTGTCCAGTTCAACATTCAGATGCCGGTACACAGATCTCATCCTCATCCAGCCAAACCAGTTTCGCGCCTACTTCCCGTCAAACGCGATCAGAAGTCAGAGACGATCCAAGGGAAACAACTCTTGTGCTTTTACAAGAAATATATCCCCTGCTCGAGAAAAGCGATTCATTCTCCCTCGCTGCAACATTGGGCCCAAACATCCGGTTCAGTCCAAAGGGTTATATTAGAGTACGCTGCTGCATCAGGCAAATATGAGACTATCTAAGCATATGTCGTCCAATTAGAAACATTAATCCAAATATATTGAAGCGCAATAGGGTATCATTATATTATTCTAAAACGTACCGATCATTACGTCATTCTGCACGTAACTGTCGAATCGAATGTCCATCATACTTCCGGTAGAGTCCTAGGTTAGATTATGACTTTAGGAAGCGATTGTACATCTTTAAACTATTTCTCAAGTATATAGAGATTACTTTCATTACCTTACTGTCAGAATACGATATGTGCGTAAGCCCTATAGTTGTTAGAATCGTCAAACAGCGTAGGGATGACAGGTTGTTTTATGGGTGCCGCCATCTTTGTTTACGAATCTCTGGCATGGTCACGTGGTCACTGCAGCGGGTGCATTTCGATTGTGACGTCATTGTAATTAAGTATAAAAGGGAGACGCTACCGTAAAACTGCCTGCACTTTTCCAGGAAGCCTAAGCAGCTTTACAACTATTTAAGCAGGACACCAAAACAAGTAAAGAGGTGAGGATGGTAGAACAGTCACCAGGACTTAATACTTTATACAAGTAATTTGTAAATGTCAACCAGGACTTATAAGAATTATATTGGGGAATTTCTGATTAGGATTCAGTCAGTTGGTACTATGTCACGATCGGGATGCACCGACTTTGAGTATTTGTTTTAAGTGTCTTTTAAAAGTGTATATATGTAAATATGTTATAATATTAATAAATTATTATTGTTGCTGAAATACATCTTATACGTTTTTATACAAAGTTTCTAGTTGTTGTTCCAAAAGTTTTGGAGTTATGGAAAGTATAAGTTTCGCGGGTTCAGAAACCAATGCTAAGTCTAGCCATTAGCAAACGTCAGCTAGCTAATTAATATGCAAGGGATATCGGGTCAGAGGTTAAAGGGCGGTCCTCCCCAGGAACTGACCAATCGGGAGCCAGTACTTTATTATGACAATATGGCTGACGTTTGCTATGAGCTAGACGCGAAGCATTGAAGTCTTCATTTCAAACGAATTACACGGAACACAATAGTTTACATATCACAAGTTAATTATCTTAAAGCGGATTCCCTACATTTATCACTATTCAGCAATATATATTCTTGGAGGAACAAGCAAACTCATTAGTGTAATGCAAATTAGGGGGCGGAATTTTAGACATGTTTTGTAAACAAACTCGCGCTACCAGGTTATCAATGGGACTATGTAGATTCTACACTTGTACTTTCGCATGCACTAAGACACATATTTTAGTGACTGAGCATCGAATAGCATACCCTCCCCTGTTTGGCGTTACAATATGTATTTTTTAAAATCGTTTTAACATTTCTTTTCAGTTTGATTACTGCTTTTTTTTATTGAACGAGCATTATATTTTTGTGTTGGTTTTTTTTTCAAAACGAAAGGTAGTTGCTTGATGTTTTAATACATATCATTAAGCCGAAGATCCTATAATTTCATCAAAATATCTATAGATAGTGAATTCATTTTTTGCATGCTAAATATAAACATTTGCAGTAGGCTAGCCTAGAGCCGCGATGCGGTCCTATACAGTCAAGACATGACCCTGCATCGCGGCCGAGAACACCACCTTCATAAATCCTATTCAGGTTCTAGTGGCCGATTACCCCTCGTATTTTCTTGAGATTTTTTAAATATATTTCCTGTGGGTTTTTGACTGAAAAGTCGATATCGATGTACTCCCATATAATTGCCCTATACATACACCTAACTGTCATGTTTTTGTGATCATACATTTAGATATTAATGGGCCTGAAACCCGTTGAGGTCTTGTTTTAACGATAGCATGTTGACATGTTGACATGTTGTGCGCATGCGCCAAATTTCTATAGTCCGTATCGGAAGACATTCTTCATTAGCGGTACGCAATACTTACTCTCGCCTCCCCTTTCGCGCGCTCGTACTTTGGGTGAATCACACTTAATGTATATTAAATTTATCTGCTTTTATGTCATAATTTACAGATTTTCCTTGCAGAGAGGATTCCATTCATATCTCTACAAAAGGATGTGTCCATGGGATCTAGCAGATTTATTAATATACAACGTAGAGCAAAGGACACGTACAATATAGTATGGTTATGTAAAAAGGTCACAAATTTGACGTATTTACAGACTGTGTATGAGATATATTTTTCTGAATGATGTAGGTTTCAGGAGGTATGTTTTAGTTCGGTAGTATTATGGAGATAATTTTTTGTGCAGACGTAAGTTTTGTTGCAAGGTATATTAAATTCACAGGTGATTACATTTTTCTTTAAAGCCAAAAAATGATGTGATTCTATTCTAATTTTAGTTTAGTTCCGGATTTATTTTCTGTCTATTTTATAAGGTTGTGGCTCAATAGTTTTACCTGTGTACATTCAAATAACAAACGAATGATATTTTCAGTTTCAGCTTTGCACAAAGAATATAAAGCATATGCTACAATTTTATATTTGAACATGTTTTTATCTGTTGTCAGCGTTCTATGAATAATATGGTGTTGGAATTAATTATCTGAACTTTGTCTTATTCGTTGTTCTTGACGGTAAATAGTTTTCCATCCAATTATATTTCGATATTTCTGTATAAATATTAGTTTGCCATTGTTATTGACTATTTTTTTCCTTTAAGGCAACATCCTTTAAACAGCATCATAGATTAATCTGCATACTTTTCCCTCCATGTATAAAGTTCTGAGGTTACATGGATCGAATGGTTCTTCCAATATGCTATCAAATGATACAGATTATTTCCATATATTTTTTTTATAGATTTGATAAGATCTGTATGTTCTCAAAGAAATATAATTTAAAGGATATATTAGTAGAACAGAATGTTTTACTTTAGGAAAGTTATTAATATATGTTTAAATGTATATGAAGACATATTTATTAGAAATTATCATGGTTATGAAATTTGTATTGTATCTTTTTTTAGACAATGGTGTTTATGGCGAATCAGCTGCGCGCGTTGTACACAGTAAGATACATGGTAAACTATCCAACTGTTTATCTATCCAGGACATTATTCAAATGGTGAGTGAGTGAGTTAAGATTATAGTCAATATTTTAGCTATATCGTGACTAAAACAATTCATTTATCACTCCCTCCACCCCACCCAACCCCACACCCCGGCATGTAAATTTGTTTCCAGAGTCTTAACTCAAAAACCGTTCAATATTTTTCAACAAGAAGAAGATGATTTGACAGCTACTTAAAGTCCAACTTGATTTTTTAGACTAAGTCAGAATCGTTAACATGGAAACCGGGAAAAATATGAATGTCGAAAATCCGCAAATAGTAAATGGAACTACTTTCTCATATATCTAATAAGTTCTGTTGAACACCCCTCCTTTTGAGACAATGTCCGAATCATTTCCATGGAAACCGAGAAAAATAAAAATGACAATAATCTGTAAACATCAAAAGGCACCGCCTTAGGTTATGTTTGACATATCTACCAATTTTTGCTGAAAAATATCGAACGGTGTTTGAGTTATGCTCTGGAAACAAAATGATTACAAACGGACGGACGGACGAGGCGACGACGATATCCCACCGCATTACATGCCGGTGGGATAAAAATGCATATACATGTATCTACAAAACAGATCAATCAAACTTTATCGATCAGATCAATTTCTTTTATAAAATCAATAATTAAATGACAGTTAACATTATTAAAAAGATCTTTAACCGTTTTGGCACGGAAATATTTATCCTTTGTGATGGAAAAATAACAGTCAAGCAGGACATGTTTGACTGCGATTCTTTCATCACGAGGGGCACAAAGTGGAGGATCCTCACCTTTTCGTAAATATTCATGCGTATATCTTGTGTGGCCAATACGACCTCTTCGCATAATAACCTCGTCAACCGATACTTGGTTTTATTGAATGTAATTTATTGATACCTACGTCAGTGCACATGTCCAACTTATTCTGCCACAATGTGGGAAGCCCATTTCTGGTGTCCCCCCGCCGTGATATTGCTGGAATATTGCTAAAAGTGGCGTAAAACAATACTCACTCACTTCTTCTCCATCAGATTACGAATATAAGATCTAATGATAGCTAAAAAACAGACATTTGATACTATGATAAACCGAGATTTTTATACTTTGAACGGAAATTAGGTGAGATATATACTAAACAACATACAGATGTCATCTTTCTCCGGCGTTGTCAAATATTTACAACATACAACTAATGTGGTGTCGTATTTTCAGAAATGTCATTACATTTGAAAATACGGCTCGATCTCTGTTAATAAGGATGCAACGTTAGTCAAAATACATCTACATAATCAAGAGAGTTTGGGAATCTAACAACTAATTTCTAGGTAGATAGGAACACCATTTAGCTATTACCTCCTTTCTCATGTGCGATTTCCTAATTCATTATAATTTGTGATAATACCTAAACGCATCCGGTTACAATGTGGATTTTTGTATTGAAACAGATTGGATCATCGTGTGTATATGTGTGGGGGGGGGGCTTACGTCAAGCCATTTTTAACATTGAACGTAGAAAGTTATACATAAGCATACAAATCCATTTCATATATTGTTATGTCGTTCAGATATCACGCAGTATTTCATTCGCACAAAGTTTCATTAAAGATGCCAAATAAAGAAATCGTCGCGCTGTAAACGGAGACATTTACTGCTTTTCAATGCAGTAGATTGCGGACAACCTTTAACAAAGTCTACTTTCCAAACAGTCTGTGTATTGGTGCTTCAAATTTACATCATCGGATAGGAAATTAAATACTCTACATATCTGTGTTATAGCCGTATCTAGAAGCAGGGCATCACTAACGCAATTGTTGCTCAACGTTCATTTTTCACAACTTCAGAGAAAATAAACCTCGGCATCCATGGGGTTAAGTCTTCTGTGCACTGCGTTGTATATTTCATTTTAAAATAAATCTGCTAGATCCCATGGACACATCTTTTTGTAGAGATATGAATGGAATCCTCTCTGCAAGGAAAATCTGTAAATTATGACATAAAAGCAGATAAATTTAATATACATTAAGTGTGATTCACCCAAAGTACGAGCGCGCGAAACGGGAGGCGAGAGTGAGTATTGCGTACCGCTAATGAAGAATGTCCTCCGATACGGACTATAGAAATTTGGCGCATGCGCACAACATGTCAACATGTCAGCTTGCTATCGTTAAAACAAGACCTCAACGGGTTTCAGGCCCATTAATATCTAAATGTATGATCACAAAAATATGACAGTTAGGTGTATGTATAGGGAAATTATCTGTGAGTTCATCGATATCGACTTTTCAGTCAAAAACCCACAGGAAATATATTTAAAAAATCTAAAAAAATACGAGGGGTAATCGGCCACTAGAATCTGAATAGGATTTATGAAGGTGGTGTTCTCGGCCGCGATGCAGGGTCATGTCTTGACTGTATAGGACCGCATCCCGCCTTTTGGCTAGCAGTAGGCCTACTTATATTTATAATAGTTAATGTCTTGGGCGCAAATAGATCTTAGTTACGGTCCAAAGTCGCCATAAAGCTATATCACCACCACCAAGATATATCCATGTCAGTTTTGAAAAAGGTAAATTCCGATTTAAGAAAGCAACACATGTTTGAGTACGTGTGTGTGTGTGTGTGTGTGTGTGTGTGTGTGTGTGTGTGCGTGCGTGTGTGCGCGCGCGCGGTCCTCTGTGTGTGTGTGTGTGTGTGTGTGTGTGTGTGTGTGTGTGTGTGAGTGAGTGAGATACATTGCTGCATGGTAATCATTTGATTTGATACACACTCGCTCTCATTAGTGGAGACAGACTCATCTTGCTGTAGGATGTCAGCTGACAAGGTACAAATTAACGTATTTTGTAGAAATATCTCATACAGATAAGAAAAGATAGATCTAGCGTTTGTTGATAGGCGTGGTGGTAATAACACCTAGTAACACCTAAAAAGGAGAAATTCAGAATAATAGGTGTCGACCATTATTTCGATCACAGCACGTGAGATGGAACATCCGCCCCAGACTGACCGAACAACTTGTAATAGCTTTCCTTTATAAACAAACGGCACGGTTTTTATATTTTCCTCTTGATATCCCAATACTGCATTATTCACCAACTTTTTTTTCTCTCGGGATGGACCAATAACCATTCCCTAAACTGTCTGTCGAAACATTTGTGTTTAATTCAACAGTGTATATACATTATATGGAGAATTTCAAAACTGTCATTGATAATGCATATCCATGAATCCGCTATGGTTGAAATGAAGCTGACAAAAATTATCTTAGTTGTCACACTGTGCAATTAGAAATATCACTAACCCGGAATGGAATTGTCCAGATTAATACATATTCGGATTAAATAACAAGGGTAGGTAAATGTAGCAATAAGTCATAATGGTTTAATCATAATGGTTTATCCCCCAGAACTACAGGTTTCCGGATAAACGGGATCCAGACAACCCAGGTTTTATTTACATTTAGTGTATATTCCGTGTAAATATTATTATTGTCAATATGATCCTCACTTTCAGAATTATCAATAGACCCAACCATATAATCATCATCATCATCAAAATCAGAATTGTCCAAATCCGAAGAGTCGGTGTCACTTTCAACAATCATACCTAAAGCCTGAGCAGTTGTGTATCGCGCTTGATGTCTTGCCGTCTTGGTTTCAAACTATTACAAATATAAAACCGATTAATATTGAAATCAAAGCTGTTGTTGTCTATGAATGTACTGGTAGGATGCAATATGCTGGATGAAAATTGCAGTTAAGCATGTGACAGTACCAGAAAACCTTCCACACGTTTGACAATATCTGCTGGGGTCCCCAAATAACTTTTCAAATTAATATTTTTGCAAGAGAGGTCAACAGAATGATACTTTGTGTATTTAATGGCAATACGATGAGTGACAACTACCTAATATATCAACCAAATATGATCAGTCGTTTCGAAAAGAATAGGGAATGCATACCGCTGGTGTCCGCATGGACCCAACGTGTACTACTTAGGGTTAATATTTTGATTGCGTCAATGGCAACTGTAAACAGACGTTTCCATATGAGGTAAGCTGATAAATAAATTCGCTCTCTTCTGACTCGATTTATGTATCTGTACAATGCTACATTTATAAGATTTTAAAGGGGTTTTAGCTATTGTGAACACATCTGTTCAGACTCTCCTGTTTTGGGTGAACAGCTATGTATGATATTGTCACCACATTTCTTAACCAATCGCTAACCGCGTACCGTTGTGTTACACATAAAGTAATGCTGATAAGTTTCACATCCATACGTGACAGCTTTCGCTCAGGTCACGTACTGACTGAATTAGCATAGGATGTGCTTGTTTCAGACACTCCTGTTTTTTGTCTTGAGGCAAATGTGGTGACAACGTTCTCCTCGTATCGATCGCTGTTACAGGTCATTGGCTCCCTCCCTCTGCAAGCTGTCTGCGTTCTGCTGTTTATTTTGTTGACAGTTACATAGACAGATTCTTTAATACAAATGCATAAAATCGGTGATTTACAATGTGATTAGGTTGTCTGACAAAACATCCACTTGCACAGTTTGAGATAGATTGGGTCATTGGATGAAGCGATATTTACAAAAAAAACGGGTCCACATGCATTTCATGCCAAACTATAGTTGCCACCGCTAGGGAGTCGCGTGATATCATGCTCATTAATTCTCGGTATTTTCCGGAATACGAGTAGGTTGTTCCAGATATTGCATTATGGTATTTTTTTCACGCTACTCGAATTAATATGCTTTAGAAATGATTGGGTTTTTCACAATGTGTCGTGTGTAAGATCCTGTACCCATGCGAATTGTGTTACATTGATATCTCTTAATGTGTTATCTATAAATAGCGACTTGGGAAGTCGCAGGCTTTTCTCCTTGAGAATTCTAAATCCTGTCCATATTTCACGGAAACATTTGTAGATACGGTGCGTCTAGTCACAGTGAGTAATGATTGTATGTTTGAGTTTGATTTGCTTGGCTTTTTGAGGTAGATATAAAGGTGGACACTTACCCTGACATGTCCAATAGTGTGTCAAACTGACATGGTAATGCATAGTTTTCGTGTACAGGTTGTTCAGGTTGACCTGAGCTACTCTACATATGAATGGCGCGGGAGGTCAAATGGCACAAACGGCAGGTCGAGGTATCTTCATTAAATAGGGGGATTAGAGAATGTTACACGGCGACCTTGTGTCGGCTGTTCTGACATGTTGACAATCAACTGACAAAGGTGCACCCCGTCACAATAATAGACCAAACCTGTTGTGACACGATCACGCAATGCATTAGTATTCACTTGATCAGGTCAAGTTGAACAGGCTATTTACATATATAGTCTCTACGCTTTGCTGGTGGTACCAATTTATTTCATAACAACATGTTAAATGCATGAAACATACACGATGGTAATGCTACACTGTTGATTGAAATTTATGACAGTACTAATTTGCCTTAGTGACAGACGTTTTGATTTATTAAATGTCAAACTGACAAAGAAATACATTTGATACTCTAGTAGTACCAATATGAATCTATGGGGATACAATACGGGACTATGAAAGGTTATCTTATGTCTAAAATGTGCACTTATATTGTATTAGAAAACTGATTCCAGGTAAAGAAAATCCACTCCATTATTTATGCTATAGGGAGGAGGAAGGAAGTCTTTATATATCATACTAATGTGTAAAGTGACTAAGTACTGGTCAAACTTATTAACTGGTAAATCATATACTATGATTTGTTTTCTTGTATATACTTTATCATACATAAATAATACTGTTTACAATGCACCATGTGGATGGTTCGTATACATTAAAATGTGTTTATACAAACCGGTAATAATATATGGGAAAGCCATCTGCTTATCAAATGTGTATTTACATGATAAAGTATACCGTTATCTTGAAAGCCACTATATTCAGAAACAGAAATCTAAAAGGAAATTTGTTTCATCTAAACCAATTTTTATAAAGTAGTTAACAGTTACATTGAATTTGAAAATTATTGCGTATTATCTTGATAGTTTTTATGTCTGTTAAACTGAAGATCCTGTATATATATATATATATATATATATATATATAGGGCTGACTGGGTACAACTAGTTCACATTTATATTATCTTGAGAGGAGCTAGTACTGTAATATGCTTGTGTTGTGCGGACACATGGCGCCAGACACCCCCAGATGTTACATTCATTCATTCATTACTTCATTCATTCATTCATTAAACTAATACAGTACAGAACACGTAACAATTCCAATGATTTGCTACAGCATCGAATTTCCCATGAAATCAGTTATTATAGCCCACTTCACCCCCAGGCTTATAGGTTATGGATAAACCGTGATAAAATTTGTCAATCCATGTCATACATACTCTCGTTGGGCTGTAGGGGCGGTGGGGTTGCGTAGTGGTTATGTAAAGCCTTCGTACGTCTCGCCGAAGACCCGGGTTTGATTCCCCACATAGGTACAATGTGTGAAGGCCATTTCTGGTGTCCCCCGCCGTGATAGTGTTGGAATATTTCTAACAGCGGCGTAAAACTAAACTCACTCACTCGTTGGGCTGTTCCATAACCGTAATTTATACTTGTAGAACGTGAGCCGAATGTATGTTGCTTTCACAAAGTACGTAAATACGAAATCTGTGATGATCAATGTAGATAATAATGGATCATGTTAATAAAACCGCATAATAATAGAATATTGGTAATGAAGAGGCTACATTGGAAGCCTGCTAAAAACATTCTTACCCCTGTCCCAGTATCAGGTCGAACTCCCCTGGGAATGCACCACCAAAGAGGATTAATAGTCACTTAACCGTTTCATCCTATCAGCTGAGTGAACAGAGGCACATAATAGAACACAGGATGATAATAGAATTTGGCCAGTTTCTTTAGCATTGTTACATTAACTTTTTACTACCAATGTATCATTTTTACTACTAATGCTAGGGCCCGTGAAGATCCGGGTTAGAATTGATTTTCAGTAACCCATGTTTTTAGTAAGAGACGATTAACGGGATCGGGTGCTCAGACTCGCTGACTGGCTCGATACATGTCATCGGTTCCCAATTGCGTAGACCGATGCTCATGCTGTCGACCACTTGATTGTCTGGTCGAGACTCGATTATTTACAGACCGCCGTCATATTGCTGGAATATTGGTGAGTGCGGCGTAAAACTCAACTCGCTCACTCACTAAGGATATATTTTTAGTGTTTCAGCTTACAAATGGAAGAACGAAATACAAAGTATAATGATAGGCATTGATTTATGTATTTTCTACAACTACTACATTGCAAAAGATAATGAAATTAGTAAACCATATCAGCACTATTACAGAGTGTACAGTTCCGTCCAAGTTACATTTATCCATCGTCCGGTTTCTACAGGAAGTCGGTGACAGGATCTTAAGTTTAACAGACATAAAAACTATCTAGATAATACGCAATAATTTTCAAATTCAATATAACTGTTAAACAAATTTCCATTTAGATTTCTGTTTCTGAACATAGTGGCTTTCAAGATAACGGTATACTTTATCATGTAAAAACACATTTGATAAGCAGATGGCTTTCCCATATATTATTACCGGTTTGTATAGACACATTTTAATGAACCCAGTCAGCCCTATATATATATATATATATGGCATATATATATATAGGGCTGACTGGGTACAGCCAATAAATAAGTATTACCAAGCTGACAGTGTACAACAATAACATACGAAATAGGATCGAAGAATTACACGTGAAGTACGCGTTAATGTGAAAAGGAAGGCGAGTTACAAGATAAAGTGTTGATTACCCGGAAGCAGGTGTAGCAACGATATAGAGGATGGCATGAATTTCCTGCTGGACTGTCTCTTTCATTATGATGTTTAGCTGACTGTAAAACAACTCTTGAGTGAGTGAGTGAATATTGTTTATCACAGTTTTGCAGCTGTTTGCTGCTAAACAATACTGGAAGTGTAAATGGCTTCAGTTGGATCAATTCAGGATTACAAAGATTATGTATTATCGTGGTGATTCTACTTTTGTTTCGGTGCCAGTGTGTCCCTGGTGTGTTGATTTAATTAAGTATAGTTTTTAGCACCGGCATGAATTATTTTCTCTTTCAGTAACACTGACGTGGTCCAATCGTGGTACATATAATTTTGCTCCTTAAATGCTAATTATTATGTGTGGTAATATTATGTCTCTTCTGTGCAGCAACTTCATTTCGAATATCATTGTGATCGTGAGACGAATATCAAGTTGGTTAAAACATGTTTGTAATAATATCAAAACAATCTTTAAAGCAATGATGTAATTGTGGAATGCTATGTGCATAAAACATATATTTCGTGATCTATATCATGGTCAACTATCTCAAAAGGCCTACTGGGTAACTTTTGTACAACCGTATCGGTCTCTTAAAAATCATTGTACTTAATGTTTACAACAGGTGGAATGTTAATCAGCACATTTTCTTTCTCCGTTTGTTTTTGCATTTCTCTCTCCAGTATGGACTACATGGTTCATGGTTACCTAATTTACTAAATGGGCAGAATAATCTGATGTACCTCCAGTTTATGATGGCATGATTGCAATTTAATCCTGATAACCTGGTTTACAACATAGTCATGTTTACCCGACTTACAATAATAATGATCTTGATAAGGTGTTTTAACTACATAATCATGATTACCTGGTTTACAAAACTAACTACTGGGTTTTCTGGTTTATGGATCACTTGTCAAGATTGTTTATAAGATTGTGTATGTTAACTGAAGTTCCATTGTGACATGCCAACGTTGTGCATTTCGTCATGCTAACGGTGCAAGTCCTTTTGCGCTTTGTGCATTTTGTTGCAAACCTTTTGCTTAGTCATTAATCTGTATTTATACATGGGTTTTACACTATTAGAGGTTTACCCACGAAAAAATCTTGACGGCTGATGAAAGAAAAATATCAGAGTGAATGTGTTGCGTGAACATTGCATCCCGGTTGACCTCAGGAACGTAACTTTGCACGGCGAATCTCCATGTGATTTTATGTAGTAAGGATGTCTTCAATATCTCACCGGCTGGTTCAGAAAGACTGGTTTTCATTCATAGTCCCTGTTGGAGACAGATTGACACACAATATGACACACAATATGTTTATGCAACAGCTGTACATGTCGCACTGTTTAAGGTGCTTGTCATAACAAATATTTTTGACAATAGTCACACAAAAGAACATCAAATATTGACACATTATCTTTCAATGCTACTTCTCGAATTGGCTTTTGATGTAGCAAATGGCACACGGTAGGATAAGATTATTATGAATATTATATTTTCACAACTGTTTTTATGCAACTTTGAGATCAAACTCATAGATCTAAAGTGAATTTTTTTCCTCCGGGAGGTAATGTTTTATCACAAATACATTACGGTGTGTGTTCGTTACCAAGACGACTGGCCACAAAAAACATTGCCTCTTGAGATCTCTGGAAAGAACACATGCCACTATGCAGAGGTACAGATAAGCTGTGTACCTCCGTAAATTACGCAAATATTTATGTGAAAACTCAGTTCTTATTAAGTCAGTTGCCTACAAGTACACTTGAATTTTTGCTTGCGTACCGGTGCATAGATAAAATAACTGAGGTAAATTGGGAGGTTCTATTTCAACACATGAACTTGGCAACTTGCGGTCTTGATTATCGTTCCTCATATTACAGATCCAATATAAATACCATTTAAACTTTATTATATATTTACGATTAAGGGGACTGACATCAAACATGTTTCTCTTCAGCATAATCCCGAAATAATTGCACAGAGGGTTACAACGCCTTAAAAGACAAGTCAGGACGTGTTCATGGCTGTTTAAATGAACGTTTTGTTTGTTGCAGAATGGATTGCATCGAAGGACATAAAGCGTTAAGAACGAAACAGCTTCAGCTGGCTGGCTGTGCTTCACTTCTGCTGTTGAACATAGCAGTGGGTATTACGGTTATATGCCGGGTGGTGTCCAACAACCAAGACACACAGGTTACGAACAACAGATTGATGCAAGAAATAAACAGGGTAAGAAGAAACCTTCAGCATGATTTGGAAACTCCAGAATATGTTACCAAGAATGTTAGGCGTATTTTTTTCTGTAAACCTGTTTTTAGCATTCATTTAATTGTTGGATATTTTCGACACCATACCGTGATCCACTCATTTTTTAAATATTTAAAGAATACCCTGTCTTGACAGCCCTCAGAAACAAATTTATTTTGGTGTAAGGCGATAAATAGATGTGAAAATTCCATCAATGGATCAATGAATATCGGTAATAACACCGGGTGTCGTGACCAGCCCTACCGGTAAAGTATAAGTGAGTGAGTTTAGTTTTACGCCGCACTCATCAATATTCCAGCTATATGGCGGCGGTCTGTAGATAATCCATAGGATTTCTATACATAGTTTTGCTGCAAGCATCAATGATTTAATGTTCATTCAGTGTTGCAGATTTATGTTTGCATGCCATGATTCATTCAGTTTGTAAATATAAAACGCTTGTGCCAAAGAATACCTAGTCTTAAATATCCTCACATAAAGATTTCTGTTTGGTGTAAAGAGATAACTAGGTGTAAAACGTCCATGAATGAATTACTTACTACAGGTATTCAAGAATAGGTTAAGCATGTCAGACCCTACAGCTAAACTAAGGCACCAGTTTGATCATTTTACAGATATACGATGAGCAACTGGAGAAAATGAATGATGATGATAATGGTGATTCCAAACGTAAAGGTGAGCAGATTAAATCATAACAATTCTTATTTTCTAATCGGATATATCCAACACATTCACCTGCCCAGTTTGTATTGGAAATAAACATGTTAAAGGTTTTCTACCGTCGCAAAAGCTGATAGAAATAATGAGTTCAAAGACGAGTGAGTGAGTCTGGTTTTATGCCGCTTTTAGAAATGTTCCATCAATATCAAGGCGGGGGACACCAGAAAAGGGCTTCACACGTTGTATCCATGTGAATCGGTCCCTGACCTTCGGCGTGACGAGCGAGCTCTTTAACCACTGGGCTACCCCACCGCCCCGTTCAAAGACGGAGCTGTGTTGTTGACTGATATGTTATGATGACTGTCCTACAATTGCCTCTGCCTGTGTATTGACAGCTATGTTTATACATATTACAGGTGGAAGGAAACCGACCATGTCGCCAGCCTTCTTGAACCTCCTGAAACCTATAGCATACTTTACTGGACTGGACTTCGATCGATACATTGGTAAGACATTCATTTCATCCTACCTATCCACATACGTTCGATCTGCAGTACTTATATGACATTTATAATGACATAAGTGGCGTGAAGATCCGGATCAGAATTGGTCTTCAGAAGTCCACGCTTATCTCAAGAGGCGATTAACGGGATCGGGTGGCCACGCTCGCTGACCTGGTTGAGGCACCTGGGCATCCCAGCTGCTTAGATCAATGCTCACTTGACTGTCTGGTCCAGACTCGATTACTTTCAGACCGCCGCCGTGTAGCTGCAATATTGCTGAGTGCGGCTTCAACAACAAACAAAAACTCAAATATAGCGAACGGTAAGTTTTCAGGGTGTGTGTTTATCTCACTGCAATTAAGGAATTACAAGCAATAACTCCACCAATTCTATGAACAATTTATCATTCCAGAGAATCAACATGACACAGCCATAAGAAACTGGGTACCCTTCGTCGGACCTGGAGGGCGACAACTGAAGTACAATGGAATGCAGTATGAGCATGGCAGCATCATAGTTCCCGCCACGGGTGTGTATGCTGTGTACAGCCATGTTAAATTTTACACAGAAAAAAATCGTCGGGGAGACACCGAAATTGAGTTTCACCATTCCATAATGAGGTACAATGCATTAAAACAGACGAGTAAACCTGCACTTGCTGACACAATGTCTGAGAATAAGAACGACGTCATTGACGGAGGCTCTCTGGAATACTCCAGTAACATCCATGGACTCCTGCAGCTCAATGCTGGGGATCAGCTGCTTGTTAAAGTATCACATCTGAAACCTCTACAGCACGACCGGGACTGGCATTACTTTGGAGCATACATGATTTAAAACATCTCGGCAATCTGGGCGGTTGTCGATATGTAAAAAATATCATGTGTTTTTCCTTATGGTGAATGCTTGAAATTCTAATTTTAGCAGTGTAGCTGCTGTACATTGTATATGAAGAGATGGTGACGGTGTCCATAGACTTCATCCTTTAGAGGGCGTTAACGATGTATTCAAACTCTACTTTGATGAAGACAGAATGCCTTTTAGTGAAGAGTCTAATACTTTGGTTAGATGAGTCCCATCCAGGATTCTAAACAACCATGTCAGAGTAAGCATCTATTCGCCAGCACACAAAGTCAACCATCTCACCCACTCAGCCACCGTGGTTTGTATTGAGATCGGACAGCTCCTACTGCCGTTACTAGAGGTGTGTGTATGCTTGTGTGTGTGTGTGTGTGTGTGTGTGTGCGTTTTTGCAATCTTGTGTTTTGAAATATACGAAGGTTACATAAACGGATGTATTTAGGTTGTAAATGCTTGGAAAGTAATTCAATTACAATGCAATAACACCTTCAATGGCAATGATATATTCGTTTTCAGACATTTATGCTTTATATCAGTTGTACATAATTTTACATGCATAGATTCTTTCTATATATTTTTGCAATAAATGTTATTTCTTTCGTAAGAAATCCAGTATGTTCAATGATTTCACCAATAATAACTTACTGCTTGAACAGTGCTATTTGGTTCAGAAATCGGCGGGCACATGTAATCGTTTTGCGATAACCCAGTGTGTTTGGCCACACAAAAGAAGAACTATTTCTGGGCATCGGGTAGTTTCACTGTGGAGAATAGGTTTATCTTAACTTTGAAGATGACACATTTCTACTGGATGAACATCTAGTAACGGATGTTTTCATGACTTTAAAGTAAACCAAACAATCCTGGACGTATTGCAAGCCAGGTTCTATGGACGGGGTGGAACCAACTTAAGGTTTTACTCAAATTTCAAACTGAGTTTGACAATTTGAAACAGCTGAATTGTTAACTCAACTGCATTTTTTAAATAAAGAAAAGCCCATCAACTTTAGTAATCTATCCACGAAACTCAAATTGTCTACTAAGTTTGGGTTTAATACTGATTTCAGTTTATTCTGGGAAATGCATTTTCCTGCGTTTTCTCAAATTTTGAGTAAAACACTGACTTAAGTTTGGTTCGAGAAATCGGGGACCAGGTAGTTGAGACCTGGTTTTAAATTGAGTAATATACATAAAGAACTTCATTACGCACCACATGTATTTTTGCAATGATAGGTTTTCAAGACATACATAAAACTTGCGGTAATCCCATAAAACGTGTGGTGACCACAATGGAAAAACATGAGTTTCTTCTGATCCTTTGATTCATAAAAAAGACAAAATGAACAATGATCATTTATCAATGTCAACCACATACAAAGAACTTAATCAAGCACCCCCTGTATTTTTGCACTGATAGGTTTTCAACACCTACATAGAACCTTTCGTGGTGGCCACGATAGAAAAACATGAGTTTTTCTGACCCGTGTGATCCTTTGACCAACCAACAAGCCAACAAAATGATTGGAATCCCAGCTAATTTTATGATGATAATTGCTCATTTAAACAAAAACAAACACTGATACAAAACCATGTCGGTACAGGCCCCGGAATGTGTAATGTTGATTTTTATTGGTGAATGTAAACATTCAATATGTCATTTTGAGTGTCTTACACGATTCAAGGTCAATACCGACCGTAACCTCCATGTGACTGTATGACAGCCATCACTGTCCTCCTCATACCCCATGTCAGCCTCCTGATCCTCCGACGGCCCAGTCTACGCCATTTCTGGTGTAAAGCAGCTTCCAACTGGGCCAGGTTCTGTACAGGAGGATCCTTTTGTTGCACTCATAGCCAATCATGTCCCAGAGAAGCGCCAAAGGGTTCAGATCGGAGCTTATTCACTCGTGAGATATTTCAGGGTGGGCATAACTAAGTTCTTTGTGTATAGGTAGGTTTGACATGATAGCCAAATGAAAAACACAATACGCAACCAGGGGGGCATTTGTCATTATAGTCACGGCTATACAAGGCATTCAGTCATCAGCAACAGCGAGGTATACGGTATTTAATGGGTTTCTACGCCACACGAAACTATGTGACGTTTTCAATGATATATCCGTATAAGCCGAAACGTGATAGTATTTCTCTTGAAACCCCTAGGACACTGTGTTTTGTAACTTAATGTTCGAGAAGTACTAATGTTGCCCACAGTGGCCAGATAAACAGTTTTACATAACGAAACATTATCGTTTCATCTCCAGACCTATCATAGATATGTGTCGCGAGATTTACCAGCACACCATCATTGCGTTATTGCCAAGGCAGCTGCTTAAGTCAAATATTTTACAATACCCTACATGCATACATTCTTGTAGCGGTAAGTGAGAAACATACATTATAATATACATCATAATACAAACATCGTTATAATTAAATGATGATCAATATTATCGGATATTTCAATAATTTCTTATCCAACACTGAAAACTACTGTAATTCTGGGCAAGTGGTTTTCCCCTACCAGGAAGTTATCTGCACATGTGATAAGAGCACGACGTGGTTGTGTATAGCCAGGATATGAGTCCCTGCACGTATTTCTTGGGGAATACTGTGCCTATCAGATTTCGTTATTGATATCAGTAAATGGTTTAAGAAAAACACATGTATGCAGTGAATAGGCGCACCAGGACGTGTTCCTCTTAGAACACAACATGGTGGTGATATTACAGAAACGCAGGTCTCTTGTCCTCATTTTTGAGCAATCATTTACACCAGGGTTGTTTATTTTGACGAGCACAAACAGGTTGTCGTAATCATTGCTTGAGTAAATACGTACAAAAGGCTACTCGTAGTGTCGGCATTGAATGGACAAAGCAATCAGTCAGTTTACTATGCGGCGTAAACAGTGGCTGTGATATTAATGGATGAGTATTATATACATATTATATTATATATTATATTTGAGTAGACAAAGTCTGTTCCGAACTGGATCAAATAGGATTACGCCACAACTATTAAGTAATTAATTGCAATTTAAATCCGCTGGCAAATGAAAAAAATACAAGCAGTTTCTTTAATTCCATAACAGATAAATCTCCACCAGCTGTAACTTTGTGCTTTGTGTCAAACAGTTTAATCTTCAAGTTTCATACTGTGATCAACTTATACAATATGAAACTGTGGTCTTATAATTCTTCCGATTACTATTTGGTCACCGGGAGGCTTTTTACCCATGCAGTTTGCGGTGCAACGCTGATAACCAAATTGTATTGTTACGGTTAATAAATTTGCCGTGACAAAAGGTTTAAGTGTCCCTTTGAACCAACAAAATAGAACACAGACTAGTCTAAAATATTCAATAACATATTGAACAAACAATGAGCAAACTACAATGAATGACAATACAGATATCTAGTACAATGCAATTGAGTCACAAATCTATAATATTGGGTCACAAATATAAAATATTAACTCACCAGAGTCTTGACATTCACGGCGTAGGAGTTGTGGATAAACGTCTTGAAAGGCATTTAGAAGTTGGACGAACATGAATGCATGCCACGTATTATGGATAATAAACCAATTGTATTCTTTATACGACGTTTCCGAGCTAACTCTAGCTCTATTTCCCTGATAAAGGAGCAATAAAGAATAAAAGGTAATTACTTTCCATATTCATAAACAACATTATCACTCAAGTTATATATGTTATAACTATGATGGGACACTCAAGTAGGAAGAAATAAACTGTATGAACTGAAAGGAACAATTCGTTATACCTACTTGGGTTGTCAGTCAAGACGTGATGAGGTAATTTTACGGCGATGTCGTATTGGCCACAGTCGATTTACTCATGATTATCTGCTGAAAACGGATGGGGATGGACCCCCCATGTGTGTCTCTTGCGATGAGGTTGTCACCATCAAGCATATTCTGCTTGAATGCGTGGACTTATGATGCAACAAACCTAAAAGATCTGTTCTCCCGCGTGAGCGCTCATCTGATAGTGAATTACCTGAGGGAAGTTGATCTGTACCATAAATTGTTACTGTGAAATCTTACTATCATAAATTGTAACTGTGAAATGTGACTAACAAATTGCCTGCCTTTAAATTTGATGTGTTTTTGAAATAAAACTCATTCCGAGTATGTACTTACAATGGTTATTAATGCAAACTTGTTCTCGTCACTATACGGCTGGAAATTTCCGATGTGACGCAAAACCCAACTCAACTCAACTTACTATGTTATATGTGTTTTAACAGTGAATAGCACTAGTTTTGTATGTTTACACGAATGCGTGTATGTTTCGATGTGCTTGTGCTACTATGTACTACTATTTACTATGGGTATGTTCAGTTCGTCATGTGTGACATTGCATCTAATGCTAAAACCCTATAGAAACATGTAATATTAAAAACAATTAAATCGGCGAAGAGAACGTATATGTTTATTTGTGTATTACTGACCACATGTTAAGGAAAACTTCAATACGATTCCTGACAGATCATTGCATTAGAAAGGACGATTAGCAAGAATTTAAGATTTAGGATCAAATGAAACTCCATGACATCAATGTTGAGAAGATTTAATATTTGTCTCATACTTTATGTCATCATATCAATTGAACATCTGTTCTGTTGATGTACAGTTTTCATTATCGCAAATCACCTAACATTTAAGTCCATAATCACTTTGTCGGTCTCTGGACATGAGGAGAATTTGTTCACATGATTAAGGATATGTTTCCTTAAGGATATGCACCTACTCGTCGGGGTCTCCCGACAGCTTTGGGTACACACCATACAAGAAGATTAATCTTGTCCCGAAAGCTGCTGCTAAAGTTCCCAGGATCATATTCTTTCCAATGGAACCTCCGCCTGTAGTGACTGCAATTGCGATAACGATAAAATCAGCGGCAAATCCAATACCAGCACTCTTCGCCCGATCCTTCGCCATGTCTTCATTTTCATCTTGAAGGTAAACAGTAGCAGAGCGCAGGTCATAGCATGGGCCTACAATCGGGATGTGCTTGAACAGTTCATGGAAGGTCATTTCCCTACTGTCACTGAAACAGAAAATATTTCATCACACTATTGCAAAAGGACGTATTTTTGCTCGCCATTTATTAATATCACTTGAGTCGTATGCTGATGAACGAGCAGGATCCGGTCTTTTTACAAACTGCACCTCGTAAAGACATTAGCTTGTAGATGTCTTGAACAGATGAGGTTTGCAAGACATTTACAGTTTTGTAAAGGTGGTACTGCGATCGACTTATATTATATGAACAACAGGCTATATATTTATTACCAATATGTAGACGCTTTACCCCATGTCATACAGGTTGTGGTGCAGTACTGTTAACCAAATTGTATGTTAACAGAACAAGCAGATGCCTCACATCACCCTGACTTGTATTCCATGCACATTACCGCTAAGATGCGGCAAATGTTGATCGTAATCATTTTTAATCAGATATGATAATGGTATGAATCTCCACAACACTCGTGTGAAGCCCATTTCTGGTGTCCCCAGCCGTGATGTTGCTGGAATATTGCTAAAAGCGGCGTAAAACCAAACTCAGTCAGTCAGTCAGTCCACAACACTCATCCGCATTTGGACGTATGAGCTGTAGATAACATTCTTGAAAGGCATTTAGAAGTTGGACGATCATGAATACACACACTTTACCGTACAAATGAAATGATAAACAAATAGTCCTGGCATTATGCAATATAATACATGAACACTTTTGACCTCACCCCTTTGCGAATAAAGTCTCGATCATGTCTGTTCAAAGAATAGGTTGACGAATAACGGAATGTTCCTCTCAAGCGCCTTCTTATGGCTGGGGGCTGGGGGTGCTGGTGGGGTTGGGTCACCGTTAAGGGGGTCGTCAGTTTTGTTCTGGGGAGGTAGGGGGTCATCAATTCGTACATGACAGGCGGGAGTTCACTAACTTTGTACATAATTTTCAGGGGGTGTCATTCGCAGTTTACATGCTTCTCCTTAAATATCACCCACCTCCTCCCAGCCATAAATTATTAACTGTCCCTCATATAACAATTGTGTTGTAAGAGCAGCAACGCAATGCAGCTAACGTTTGAAGCCAGCACGACAATGCTATAAAACATCTATTATACATAACAATACCTGCAAACCCCGTTCCACAGCCACGGGTAACCTCTGTCATGTGCTGAGACGATTGTACAATTGCGAGTACAATGTGTTTATATAAAAGAGTTGATACCAGGTGTTCGAGAAAAGGTGAATTAATTCTGTCCTAACCTCTAGCATTCTGTCAAAAAATACATGCAAAGATTAGTCACTTGTACAACTGAATCGGGAGGATATGGCACAATTCTAAACGGCGAACTGCATGGGGCATATTTTTTTGGGTACAAAGTATGAAGAACATTCTGCTGTCCTCCGCCGTGATATTGCTGGAATATTGCTAAAAGCGGTGTAAACCTATACTCACTCATTCACTAGATACGTTCATGCTACACCTTATAGGTTGGTTAAGTGTCATGACAGAACAAGAATATGAAGCACTACTTTTATTAAAATCAGATACACACCAACAAATAAAATATCTGTATTCCATTCGTCGTTATTTACGGTTGAATTACTTGAGATATCCCTGAAACACAATGCTGAGGTGATATTCATAACACACATAGTGGTTAAGCGTTCGCTCGGATCCGCAAGATCCGGGTTCGATACCCCACATGGGTACATTGTGTGAAGCCCATTTCTGGTATCCCTCGCCGTAATACTGCTGGAATGTTGCTAAAACGGCTTTAAACTAAACTAAGTAACTAAGTAACTCACTCACTCACTCACTCACCGTATGTCAATACCCGTTACCTACCTTGTTATCGTCTCCGTTACCCACAGTGCATCATCCCGTTACCCACCCTTTATCACCTCCGTTACCCACCGCGTATCGTCTCCGTTACCCACCCTGTATCATCTCCGTTACCCATCCTGTATCATCTCCGTTACCCACCCCGTATTGTCTCCGTTACCCACCCGTATCTTCTCTGTTACCCACCTTGTTATCGTCTCCGTTACCCACAGTGCATCATCCCCGTTACCCACCCTATATCACCTCCGTTACCCACCGCGTATCGTCTCCGTTACCCACCCTGTTTCATCTCCGTTACCCACTCTGTATCGTCTCCGTTACCCACCCCGTATCGTCACCGTTACCCACCGCGTATCATCTCCGCTACCCACCCTGTATCATCTCCGTTACCCACCGCGAATCATCTCCGTTACCCACCATGTATCATCTCTGTTACCCACCCTGTATCATCTCTGTTACCCACCCTGTATCATCTCCGTTACCCACCCTGTATCATCTCCGTTACCCACCATGTATCACCTCTGTTACCCACCCTGTATCATCACCGTTACCCACCGCGTATCATCTCCGCTACCCACCCTGTATTGTCTCTGTTACCCACCGCGTATCATCTCCGCTACCCACCATGTATCATCTCTGTTACCCACCCTGTATCATCTCTGTTACCCATCCTGTATCATCTCCGTTACCCACCGCGTATCATCTCCGCTACCCACCCTGTATCATCTCTGTTACCCACCGCGTATCATCTCCGTTACCCACCCTGTATCATCTCCGTTACCCAACCTGTATCATCTCTGTTACCCACCCTGTATCATCTCCGCTACCCACCCTGTATCATCTCTGTTACCCACCGCGTATCATCTCCGCTACCCACCCTGTATCGTCTCCGTTACCCACCATGTATCATCTCTGTTACCCACCCTGTATCATCTCTGTTACCCATCCTGTATCATCTCCGTTACCCACCCTGTATCATCTCCGTTACCCACCCTGTATCGTCTCCGTTACCCACCCTGTATCATCTCCCTTACCCACCCTGTATCATCTCCGTTACCCACCCTGTATCATCTCCGTTACCCATCCTGTATCATCTCCGTTACCCATCCTGTATCATCTCCGTTACCCATCCTGTATCGTCTCCGTTACCCACCCTGTATTGTCTCCGTAACCCACCGTATATCATGTCCGTTACCCACTTTGTTATCGTCTCCGTTATCCACAGTGCATCATCCCCGTTACCCACCCTGTGTCGTCTCCGTTACCCATCCTGTATCGTCTCCGTTACCCACCGCGTATCATCTCCGTTACCGACCCTGTATCGTCTCCGTTACCCACCGTATATCATGTCCGTTACCCACTTTGTCATCGTCTCCGTTACCCACAGTGTATCATCTCCGTTACCAGCCCTGTATCATCTCCGTTACCCACAGTGGATCATCCCCGTTACCCACCCCTTATCACCTCCGTTACCCACCGCGTATCGTCTCCGTTATCCACCCTGTATCGTCTCCGTTACCCACCCTGTATTGTCTCCGTTACCCACCGTATATCATGTCCGTTACCCACCATGTATCGTCTCCGTTATCCACAGTGCATCATCCCCATTACCCATCCTGTATCGTCTCCGTTACCCATCCTGTATCGTCTCCGTTACCCACCGCGTATCGTCTCCGTTACCGACCCTGTATCGTCTCCGTTACCCACCGTATATCATGTCCGTTACCCACTTTGTCATCGTCTCCGTTACCCACAGTGTATCATCTCCGTTACCCACCCCTTATCACCTCCGTTACCCACCGCGTATCGTCTCCGTTATCCACCCTGTATCGTCTCCGTTACCCACCCTGTATTGTCTCCGTTACCCACCGTATATCATGTCCGTTACCCACCGCGTATCGTCTCCGTTATCCACCCTGTATCGTCTCCGTTACCCACCCTGTATTGTCTCCGTTACCCACCGTATATCATGTCCGTTACCCACCATGTATCGTCTCCGTTATCCACAGTGCATCATCCCCATTACCCATCCTGTATCGTCTCCGTTACCCATCCTTTATCGTCTCCGTTACCCACCCTGTATCATCTCTGTTACCCACCGCGTATCGTCTCCGTTACCCATCCTGTATCATCTCCGTTACCCATCCTGTATCGTCTCCGTTACCCACCCTGTATTGTCTCCGTTACCCACCGTATATCATGTCCGTTACCCACCATGTATCGTCTCCGTTATCCACAGTGCATCATCCCCATTACCCATCCTGTATCGTCTCCGTTACCCACCGCGTATCGTCTCCGTTACCCACCGTATGTCAATGTCCGTTAGAGAGAGAGAGAGAGAGACAGAGAGAGAGAGACAGAGAGAGATTAGTGGATGTGTCACTGTTGTGCAATGGGTATTTCAAAAGGTAAAGTTCAAAGTTGAATCAACGTTTGCTTAATCAGATGTTTTGTTCAATTTTCGGTTTCATCAGGAGAACGGGTATTCTGGATCAAGAAAATCACCACAAGTTCTTTGTAAGCATAGCAGTCGCATTCGTGAGCAAATCGTCATATTACATGACAAGTCGAACGGAGAATCGACGCAGTTGATACAATTGTCAAATGTCGACATTCATGCATCATCCACCTTTATCGATTAGGGGTGGGTCTTTGCAGGTTACCGGATATGAAGGGGTGCTTGGTGAGTCAATGCTCAACTCCACGCATAGTTGTTGGCCGCCAAGCATTGTTGGGAGCATTTGACTAGCGACCGATTCACTGCAGAGAGCTTCGCGAATGGGATATTGTTGCATGGTGGCTGACATAAGGTATGCATGGGTACGTTCTGCATCGATAACTGATTCTGGGTGGTATGACCACACTCTTGTATTCACCATTTACCAGTCGTGTACATGACAATTGTACCTATTCTGTCAGCAGATTACATGGGAAAATATGTCCGAAAGTCACCAGAAGAGGGTATCTCAGTGAAGGTCACCTTGCCTAATTCCAACTGCGCAGTACATGATGGCCATGCAACTATAACCTGTAGTGATCCGTTACTGGGATAGACGGGTTAGCATGTGCTTTAGATTAGGAACATGTTATTGCCAAGTAATTTGAATATGTGATCCTATGTTATATCCTATGTATATCGACAGCAGCATGTTTGAGATGCCCATGTTACTCTGAAACATACATCACTAAGAGGCAGTAAATGCATAATTTGGCAAAGGTTTGTATGCTAGTGTTTAAATGTTTGAGAGGGATCCAAACATATTTTAATTTTTCAGCATGGGTTGTGTACGAGGACGGACGGTATTGATTACAGTAACTGTTTCCATGGTTATTGCGAACATTGTCGTCTTCGGCGTGGCTGTGTATTTGGCGTCAACGAGCCAGACGGATCGACAGCCCGCTGCTGAAGCCCAGAGATTCAAAGATTACATAGACAGCAAGGTGTGTGGATCGTGTTTACTTAATAGTGTACTTGAAACATTTATAGGTTTAATCTGGCATATATGTGTTCGTACCGACCACTGAAATAGAGGTTATACCCTTACGTGTAACTAGGAGTTCGTTATTATTGCATCGTCAATGTTATTGAACTGAACATTCGTAAGCTTATGATGAACTATAGAGTAACGACGGGTCCTAATGTTACGAACGCTTTGAGGATCGGGACCCTTTAACTCTTTGCTTGAGTGTAGGAATGTAGTTCATATTTGACCCAATGATCAGATTTACCCTTTTCTGCTACAAGATATGCTGCTTTCATTAAAGTCAACCTAAATGATAAACCGTAATTCTGTTAACATTTTCATGACTTGAGATAATTATATCTGCAGATAGCCGATGCAGTGAAACTGGCAGAGAAATCATTCAAGGACAACAGTTCTGAAATTAAAGGTATGATGAACATTATCAACACAATCACAAAGAAAATGTCACGTGAGACGCAGGTATACATGGGATTTAAAATGAAAAATCAGGTATTTGAAAGAAATAGGTAGCTGCATATACTCGATTCCACAGATGACAATTTCAATTTGCTTTGTAGATGCACTGGATTTGACTTTTCTGAACCTCTTGAAACCCATGGCTTTCCTTCATGGAGTGGGTCCCTTTGACGAGTCAGGTATGTATGTGAGGCATGTGTAGCTGCTAAAACATGTATAACCTATGTGTACATGTAGATGCATAGACAGCTGGTTTGTCATATTTCAAAGTTAGTGATAATTTGTAAAATACGATTAGGGATATTCAAATTGCCATGTGTCCAGCGTAATCATCCGTGAAGATCTGGGTTAGAGTTGATCTTTAGCAACCCATGCTTGTCATAAGAGATGACTAACGGGATCGGGTGGTCAGGTTGGTTGACACATGTCATCGCACCCCAATGTGGTATATCGATGCTCATGCTGTTGACCACCGGATTGTCTGGTCCATTATTTACAGACCGGGGTAATATAGCTGGAATATTGCTGTGTGTGGCGTTAAACAACAACCAATCAATCAATCCAGCAATTATAACAACATCTGTTCATGGACAGTTGTATGTATAGTCAAAATAGATAAACTATAACTTATAAATGTCTTACCCACTCCGGTATATAGTTCTATAAACCTGTCAATATCACTTCAGACATTCAAGGTGGAAGAACTACAGTTCGAAATTGGATAACAACAGATGGTCTGAAGAAGGCCGAGCTTCTTAATGGGATGAAGTACGCCCGTGGCAGAGTCATAGTCCCTGAGAGCGGCTGTTACCGGGTAACTGTTAGTGCAATGATGCACTATGAGGGTACAAGGGGACATTGTAAAACCTTCTCACTTGACGTCATCCGATATAACGCAAACACAAAGAAAGAAGAAGTCATATATCGTGAGAATGAAGAGATGTGTCCTGAAACCAAGGACGGGGCTTCTGACTACCACAGTCATTTCGTCGGTCTTGTAGAGTTAAATCCTGGAGATCAGATATTTGTCGTTGTATCAGATCTGTCACTTCTAAAGACACACAGAGACGACCATTACTTTCAAGTTTGTTTAACTTAAAAAGATGAAGAATCAATACCTGGCAGTCTAGTCGGCTGTCAAAAGTTGCATTGATTTCCATAACCCGAAAGCAGGTGATAGGCATGTCACACAAACTTAATATTAGTTTATACTGCTTTTATGGTATGGCATCTGAAAATCAGTGATAGTATTCGATTTAATTAAATCAACTATCACAGCATTAGTTTTATTGCTTGTATTGATTAGTTATGTTGCTATGTCGCACTTTGTATGCACATTGTTTGTTTTAATGTTTATTTTTCACTCTATTCTGTTTGTATGTATATGTTTATGGAAAGGGTTTCTCAAGTTAGACCAGACTGAGGGGCACAATGTAAAAACCGTATCTTTTTTATGTGTTCCCAATCTCCAACCGCAACCAGTAAGAAAGCGTGTTGTCCGAAAACATAAGTACAAATAAATTTATATTCTAAAAATACTCTTCACCTGTTATGTACATTGTTTTCGGAAATTCGGAAATTGCAAAAACGGTACAACTAACGGACCTGCTTGTGACCTAACGTGTGCAATTGTAATTGTATTATATCAGGACATAGATTGTCAAAACGGCCAGGAAAATTGAGATAACGACTGCCTATAGTTTCGGAACGAAAGGTTAGGGCTTGTGGGATCGGAAGATGGTAAATAGAGGAAAATACTGACAGGCGCTAACCTGAACAAGGACGCTTCACGCACTGTGATCTGAGTTGTATGTATTTATATACTCTGTGTCACTCATGATCTGTGACGTGTGGCTATTTATATCCTAGCGTGACATGAGCACTGTGACATTTATAGTTTCTACTGTTCAGATCACGGGCGGGTTTGTGATTAATTCCCCACAAATCCCGCGTGTGTAATTTGAGATACCGTTACATGTCCAACTGACAAGAGTATTGGATAAGTTCATAAACCTGTTAGTCTAATAACAGTATAGCACAATATGTGTATAGAGGACACTTCATTACATTCGGGATCGCACATTATATTGATCGAGATGTATCTATTTACTTGATCTACGCGTAAGAATATACATCCTCTCAACAAAGAAGCTGACCTTCGTATGTATGTTTGTTGTTTAACGTCTTAGTGAGCAATGTTCAGGTCCACACGAGCTAGTGATTGACATCATGAATACCACACAAGCTAGTGATTGACATCATGAACACCACACAAGCTAATGATTGACATCATGAATACCACACAAGCTAATGATTGACATCGTGAATACCACACAAGCTAGTGATTGACATCATGAATACCACACAAGCTAATGATTGACATCATGAATACCACACAAGCTAGTGATTGACATCGTGAATACCACACAAGCTAGTGATTGACATCGTGAATACCACACAAGCTAGTGATTGACATCATGAATACCACACAAGCTAATGATTGACATCGTGAATACCACACAAGCTAATGATTGACATCGTGAATACCACACAAGCTAATGATTGCCATCATGAATACCACACAAGCTAATCATTGACATCATAAATACCACACAAGCTAATGATTGACATCATGAATACCACACAAGCTAATGATTGACATCGTGAATACCACACAAGCTAATGATTGACATCATGAATACCACACAAGCTAATGATTGACATCATGAATACCACACAAGCCAATGATTGACATCATGAATATCTAAGCAAGTGGGATGCAATGATATGCATGAACCAGGTCAATGGGTCTGACCACCCCATCCCATGAGTTGCCTTTTAAGGTAAGCGTGGGTTCTTTGGAAGAACCCGGATCTTCACAGGTTGTTCTAACTTAATTGCTTATCATAATAGCAAATGTGGCTGCCCTTAAATTGTGATGGAAAAGAAACACAAAATTCTGATTCTGTGTTTGCTTTCGCTCGTTTGGTTACTCCTCTTGGTGTATGCAATAGCGCGAGGGTGTGGCTCATAGAGATGCAAAACATTGTCTAGTAACAGATTAAAACAGATAAGATACATTGCCTGTGTTTTCACAGATATATTGGTGAACAAAAAGCTTGATCATGTATGTCAACTTTATATTGTAGTAGTATTCCAGCTGCACTATAGGGTATCTTGGGGAGTGAAGGAGTAGTTTTCAGCATGATCTGTTCATTAATCGAGATATGCACTCTACTCACAGTACGTATTCTGTATAAACGTACTTTACTCTTGATCGTTTTTGAGACAGTACCTCGCATTCATGGTTTATCCGGGAATTCCGTAATCCCCTGGAATGGTATAGTTAGATTATTGCTATAATGTGTTCACCTAACTTCAAGAGTTGAACCTGTACCGATACTGTTTCCAATTGGTCTTTAGCAACCCATCCTCGTCGGGAAAGCGACGAATGGGAGAGGGTGGTCAGGCTCGATGCTCATGATATCAGTCCCTAAATTTTCTGATCCTGACTCGAATATTTACAGACTACCGTCATGTAGCTCGAATATTGCTGAGTGCGACTTTTAACAACAAACACATACTTCCAGGGTTGAAACTGTAAAGATACTGTTTAGAACCCATGCATGTCCTAAAAGCAGTGAACGGGAGAGGGCTTTCAGGCTCGACTTGACGGATGCATGTTTTTGTGACCCACTTGCAGAGATATACAGGCAAGTTACGCTGTAGAAATATTGCAATAAACTTCATTAGATGTCCATTCGTTGTTGTTATAAGTTGTTTAAATTTCCGAATCTTGATGGAGAGACAGTTTTCTATCTACAGAATAGAATGGACAGACAAGTAAAACATGAAATTCATCTAGTTTAACATTACAATGACATTTGTCACATATCAGCACATTGTTATTTATATTACTTTTATAACGTTGTTGCTGAACATTCAATTTATTAATGTATTAGGGACCGTTAATAATTTATGGGTGTGGGGGGATGATGATTTTAATGGGGGGTTCCCCAATTTGTTTGGGAGGCAGGGGTCATCAGTTTTGTACACAAGTACTGGGGGCAATTTTGTACACAGAAATATTTTTTAAATTATGCTTAAATATTATGGGAAGGGGGGGGGCATTGGTTTTGTACATGACATGCAGGGCGGGGTCACTTACTTTGTACATAAATGTTGGGGGGGGGGTGTCATTCACATTTCACATGCTTCACCATGAAAATCACCATCATCATCAAAACACACACACACACACACACACACACACACACACCTCAAGCCACAAATTATGAACGGTAGATCGAGTTGCCTTGCTCTAGAAACAAGTTTAGAAAAAAAGTTTCACCTCGCTTCATTTTGTGAGTCTGCCAGTATATTTGTATTATGTCAGGACATAAATTGTCAAAACGGCATGGGACACTGAAATAACAGTTGTCTGCAGTGTGGGACTGACAAGTTAGGGCCTGATTGAGATGTTAAATAGAGGAAAATACTGACAGGTAGTCTGTCGTACAGACCCTGAAGCAAATATAGCCAAGAAAGCCCACACAAGTCTAGAAAATGTGGCAAGTCTAGATTTCCTCAGCTTCTTATATATTTTTTTACAATGATCTTTTTTTCAGTAAAATATGTTCATTTCAGAGACTAGTTGTTAGTCTAGGTGACAGGCTAACCTGAACAATGCCTCGCCACGCACGCACGGTGATCTGAGTTGTATGTATTTATATACTGTGTGTCACTCATGATCTGTGACGTGTGGCTATTTATATCATAGTGTGACACGGGCACTGTGACATTTTCTTCTACTGTTCAGGTCACTGGCGACTCCTACATCCTACAGTAATTGAGTCTACATGTGCAATACCCGATGTTGTCAGCTGTGCGATACTGTTGCACCTCAAACTGACAAGTCGTGACAGGAAACAAAGAGTAAATATGTGTATTAGTCCTAATTGCAGTATAACACAATATTTGTTTACAGTATCACAGCGTTGCATTCAGGGTAGGATGATACATAGAGAATCTCACCCGAGTGCCTTTTGATATCAAATATATCACCACGAGTTGATATTTTTACTTTTATCAAAGAGTGTTGATATATTTGATATGAGAAGACACGAGGGTGAGATTCTATTTATCATCAAAAATCACTCGTCATTAGTTTTCAATGAAAAATGTACATCTCTGAACACAGTACTGCCATTTGATTTGCAGTGCAGCGATGTCTTAACATTGTGACGTCAACACGTTCATGAAGTCATAGCATTGTCAGGGCATTGTACAAAATCAACTGTCAAAACAATATCTCCTAGGAGATATCGTCTGATCTCACACAAGCGATATCTACTGTGGAACACAGTTTTGGATGATACATGTGTTATGGGGGCGGTGGGGTAACCTAGAGGTTAAAGCGTTCACTCGTCATGCCGAAGGACCGGGTTCGACTCCCCACTTGGGTACTCTGTGTGAAGCCCATTGTCTGGTGTCCCCGTCGTGATATTGCTGGAATACTGCTAAAAGCGGCCTAAAACCATACTTGCTCACTCAGATGTGTTGTTTTGTTTGTCTGCTCGTTGCACTCACCAATATTCCATCTAGATGACAGCCTTGTCAGGTTCAGACAATCCAGTGATTGACGCTTAGCATCGATATACACAGAGGTCAGCGTCAACCAGGTCAGCGGTTATGACTACCCGATCTTGTTATTTGCCACTTAAAACAAACGTGGGTCGCTGAAGATCAGACCTTCATGGGCTATATCATATTTATTCAGCCTTATGAATGAATTGCTTTCTTATTATAGAAGATATGGTTGCACTTAAATTCTGATAAGAAATAAAAACAAAATTCCGATTCTGGGTATGTTTTCGCTTCTTTAGTTTCTTGGTGTATGCAATAACTTCAGTGAGTGGTTGATATAGATGTCAAACATTGTCTAATAAATGCAACTAAGATATGATACACTACCTGTGTTTTCATTTGTATAATTACCCATGAAGGTCCGGGTTAGAATGTTGATCTTCAGTAACCCATGCTTGTCGTAAGAGGCGACTAACGGGATCGGGTAGTCAGACTCGCTGACTTGTTTGACACGTCATCGGTTCCCAATTCCGCAGATCGATGCTCATGCTGTTGATCACTGGATTGTCTGGTGATATATTTGTAGAACTGGAATGTCAACTCAATTTTGTAGTTCATAAAATTCTAGCTGCACTATGATTGCATCTCTTTGCTCATTCCTCGAAATATCCAATATTATCAAGATCAGAGCAAGTACATATATTCGTTATGTGGTTTTTTTTGGTCATGAACGCAGTTTACTCTTTATCATTGTTTAGATATAGTACCTCGTATTTACAGTTTGTCTGGAAACTTCGTAACACGGACAATATTGTCCTGTAAGGATTATGCCCAGATTAAGAGGATTGTATTAAGAAATGAAAAAACGTTGTTTTGAAGCTGAGGGAATCTGCGTAAATACTTCGAGTTAGCGGAAGTTCGACTCAACCGCAAAATGATGAGAAAATTAAGAATATGCAGGGAATAAGCTTTTCTTCGAGACAACCGTACATTCCACCTATCAAAGTTCGACACAACAGTGTTTGTATATATTTCAATTCTATGCATAAGTGACATTAGCAGAGGAGAAATCGACAAAGTTTCTCACTCGTACACAATACTAGGTTTATGTAGTTAAATTTTTGTACAATTTTCACACTCAAATCAGCACTACACAACATAATCATAGAAAATAACCCATATAGTGATGACCATCACCATCCGGAGCTAAACAAGTCTACCGACATTCATTAGAACATGACACATGGACAGGAAGGTGAACGGAGTTGTCTCCCTTGTCTCATCTCAACTGTTAGTCATTGTGTTAAAAAGGCATGGAACGAGCAAATACACACATGCGCTTGGTTCGACGTGAGATAGAACAGACGGGTTATCTCCCTTACATCAGGTGTTTCGCGAGAAGCAATTTGTTCGTGCTTATGGAGCAAAATGTTAATTATTAAGAGCTTGTTTTCAAGACGATTTACAGAGAAAAACGTTGAAAATATCATATTGCTATATCGTTTATATTTGTTACTTGGGGTCCCCTGGAATGGTATATTATTGCTATAATGTGTTCGCCTAACTTCAGGGGCGGCGGGGTAGCCTAGTGGTTAAAGCGTTGGCTCGTCATGCCGAAGACCCAGGTTCGAATTCCATCATGGGTACAATGTGTGAAGCACACTTCTGGTGTCCCCCGCCATGATGTTGCTGGAATATTGCTAAAAGCGTCGTAAAACCAAACTCACTGAGTCAGTCATTAACCTAACTTCAAGAGTTGAACCTGTACCTATACTGTTTCCAATTGGTCTCTAGCAACCCATCCTCGTCGGGAAAGCGACGAATGGGAGATGATGGTCAGACTCGATGCTCATGATATCAGTCACTGAATTTTCTGATCGAATATTTACAGACTACCGTCATGTAGCTCGAATATTGCTGAGTGCGACTTTTAACAACAAACACATACTTCCAGGGTTGAAACTGTAAAGATACTGTTTTGAACCCACGCATGTCGTAAAAGCGATGAACGGGAGAGGGCTTCCAGGCTCGACTTGACGGATGCATGTTTTTGTGACCCACTTGCGGAGATAGCTTTCTGATCCTTACTCGAATATTTACAAACTACCGTCATGAACCTGAAACATTACTGTGTGCGTTGACAACAAATGGTTACCAGGGTAGCATCCGTGTCCTAATAGACGAGGACACAGGTGACTGAAAGGCCATAATGCTGCGATTACTGGACACAAATGGCGGGAAGCGTTGGCCATACTATTGACCACAGGTTTACATGAACCAGACACAACTATTTATGCAGTGTTCGCAGCATGCGAAAATCAATAGCAATAAAAAACTTACAGTTACTATATTACTTATACATACTAGCATATACAAGCCTGTAATGCATGTAATTTTACGTTACTAAGTTATTACTGCTCATATGTCGTGACAAGCGACATCTACAGTTCAATAATGGTAATCACTTGTTGAACAGGTCGTTCATCAATGTCGTTTCGAGGTTCTTCCACCCATTAGCAACGCTGAAAACAAAAACATAGTAAGATCGCATTGTACGCATGCTTTAAATAACATCATCGTTGGTAAGATAAGTCGGTAAAATAAGTACAAATGTTACGCAACACTGTGGCCACGCATGTTTATGCCTTTTGTCAGTGGACATTGGCACGATCTGTTCATTCCAACAAATAGCAAACACGGCAGTATATACTGAGACGTCAGATAGAGGTATTACATACTCCCCTATTGTGCTTTACACTGTGGTGCTTGACAACTGGAGACCTAGCATTGCAGGTTTGCACAGGAATTCAGTCACCTGATTGAATTCTTTGAACGGTGACAATGAATAACACGGGGAGAACACTGTGTCTTACATTAGCTGTCGACATAAATAAATATGACGTCATGTCATTGGTCACTTCATGCCAGTCCTTCCTGAAGACATCATGTTGGTTTGTTCTGCTTGGTTACTGATTGTGGGTTACTTTGTACCTGTTACATTCTCATATGAGAATTTTACTGTGCATGGCAACTGCTCAGGGACTCTCCTGCAAGAGAGGTTTGCTGTATGGGGAACGCCGGTAAGTAGAAATATGTCTTGGATCATTTATTCTTAAAGGTATGTATCGACATAGAGTTGTCATAGTCAAACGCAAATGTTTTGGAAACATTCCGCAAAGACATTTTTTTAAAGGGAAATGCGAAATCCAGGATAACAATAGTCAGTGACTTACTTTCTTGATTACTTTAATTCAATGTTCGTATACATGAAGGAAAACCAGGTTCAATGGATATATACAATTGACAAGGTTGATGTATACTATTCCAAAAAAAGAAACGCACAACCCAGAAATCTGCTGCGAAAATGTTGTATTTTCAAACATGTATAACTCGTCCACAAATAGACTTTAGTACATGGATTTTCAGTTTAGAAGAAGGTAATGTCTATACAGCCTAGTTGACGATTCTAGATAAAGGGGACGTTGAGAGCGATGGTGACCACGTAGCATGGTCCCGACTTCGGGTCTCCTGGCACACAGTCCAATCTCTCTCAACCTGTTCCGTACAGTTTGACGGATATCTTCCGAAGTCTAGGCACCCTGGCTGCTGTGCTCTCACCCATGGCAGTACGATCACGCAAATGTAGTACTCGGATTACCGATCTTGGGCTGAGGTCTGCCTGTACGGGGACGGTCAATTGTTATACCTGTTTGGTTGTAACGAGGTGCAAGCAATGATATCGTGCTCAGACTAACATTCTGACGCCTGGCAACTGAACGTTGGTAATCTCCATCGTGCATTCTGTCAACGGCGGTGATCCGTGTCGCAGCGTCAAGACGTGGCGTAGTGATTTGACCTTGAAACTCCTTCAAAACGAATTCAAATTTCCGAAATAATCTGGATTTCTATAGCCAGACAGTGCGTGCTCTTTGCTGCACAATTTCAACTGGAATGTGATTTCTGTGGCATTGTGGCGATGCCTTTTTAATTCTTGTATAAAATCTCATCAAATGAACATTTTTTAGGTAAAGTCGATTTTTCTCTTGTGCAATCGTGTAAAATCATGTTATCGACACTTTGTTACATATTTTGAAGATTGTTTGAACACAATTGGTAATTAATAGATTTTTCAAAATACAAAAAGCCTATGCGTTTCTCTTTTGGGGATAGTATAATTTGGATTGCTATATTAGTGATTTGAGCAGAGTAGGTTGATGTACAGAGCGATAGTGATTAAAACAATATGCAGAAAGAATGAGTTTATACAATAGTTGAGTTATACTGAGATGGTAATTAATAAGTATGAGAGAAGAAGACAGAGAAAGAACTTCACGACCCATAGAACTTGGTTTTCCTTCACCTATTCAACTTCTAAAATGCCTCTCAAAGAAGTTCGCATGCATGATTAATTGAAATAAAATCAATCGATATATAACCGAAACAACGGTAGATTCTGGCCCTGAGGCAGTCAGGATTCTGCCAGTCCCGACGTGGAATTTCAGATGGCGTGCTGAATTCCTTTCGATGATGTTCTTGTATCACCCTGTACAATAATGCAATTCAGGGAACGGTAACTCAAAGTATTCCTGTCTAGGATAATGTAAGTTTACAGTAACTACATTTGAGAATAAACAGGCATCATATCATATATATAATGCACGTAAATGTAGTTAATGTAGGTTTACTTCATTTCATAGCAAACATGTACCATATATTATATCAGGGATAATCTACAACAGGGATAGGTCACTCGCTTGCATTCTTTCCCATTTGTACTGACTAGCGTGTGCCTCGTCATGCTCCAAAGCACACATTGACTTGATTCGTTCCCAGTGCAACTTCGGTTGCGTTTAACAGTACTTTGGCCAGTGTATTGTATCAGTCGGAATTTTAGATTAATGAATGAATGAATGAAGATCAAGAGTTATATGTGAATGAATGAACGAAAGAAATAAAGAAAAAGAACAAAACAAAGAAACACATATGTGAATGAATGAAAAAATAAATGATACACCACGGCCATCCCTCCCCAAACATGTGAAAGAACGCAAAACTATCGGTAGAGCACATGTGTTAACATCAGCTGTCCTTTTTTTAAAAATCTACTTTAAAACATTTTTTTTACATTAGTAATTAATTCAGATATCGTATTGCATGTGTGGAATGGCATGGACATTGATAGAATGTTAAGTGACACTGTCACACACCCCTCAAAAACAGAAAGTTTAGAACTATCACAAAGCGTTGTAAACACCATTCCAGTTTTGTCAAATACTAAGATCAACAAGAAAGAAAGAAGTTGTAGAACTATAACACTCAAGCATCACAAGCATCAATGGCGGATCAGAACAGATCGGCGATATGTCATATTTTTCACACACCTCAAATACACCCTAACAATTGTTTTTAAATTATTAAACTATCATTATTACTTGCAAACACCTTTCACCTGGTGGTATATCCCCCTCATAAACGAATATGTGAAAGAAGTTTTTAGCGATAGAATTTAGTCTTTCTTCGCTGTGTACCGAGAACTGAAGCCAGTCAGCTACACCAGAGACCATATGGTCTCTGGCTACACCATGCCGACTTGAAACTTTAATACAAATCTGCTCTACTAATACTGACACTAATAACAATTATTTGACTTAAAATGAAGTGACAGAATAGGTAACTTATCTTCTACATGTAAGTTTTCAGTTGTCACAACACTTAGCGAATGTAATCAGCTGTTGAAAATAAAACAAGCTTAATCTTGAAAACTACGCTGTCGCCATATTGGCTACACTGGTCACGTGACGAGCCGAGGCATACGCTAAGGGGCTTTTCCAGGAGTGACCACTCCCCGTTATATAGTCTCCCTGATTATATACATAGCGAAGTTAAATGTAGTTAATGTAAGTTTACTTCATTTGATAATAATCATGTACCATAACGATGTTGGCTGTAGTTACTAAAGTTTACTTCATTGATAATAGTCGTGTACCATAACGATGTTGGCTGTAGTTACTAAAGTTTACTTCATTGATAATAGTCGTGTACCATAACGATGTTGGCTGTAGTTACTAAAGTTTACTTCATTGATAATAGTCATGTACCATAACGATGTTGGCTGTAGTTACTAAAGTTTACTTCATTTGATAATAGTCGTGTACCATAACGATGTTGGCTGTAGTTACTAAAGTTTACTTCATTGATAATAGTCGTGTACCATAACGATGTTGGCTGTAGTTACTAAAGTTTACTTCATTGATAATAGTCATGTACCATAACGATGTTGGCTGTAGTTACTAAAGTTTACTTCATTGATAATAGTCATGTACCATAACGATGTTGGCTGTAGTTACTAAAGTTTACTTCATTGATAATCATGTACCATAACGATGTTGACTGTAGTTACTAAAGTTTACTTCATTGATAATAGTCATGTACCATAACGATGTTGGCTGTAGTTACTAAAGTTTACTTCATTGATAATAGTCGTGTACCATAACGATGTTGGCTGTAGTTACTAAAGTTTACTTCATTGATAATAGTCGTGTACCATAACGATGTTGGCTGTAGTTACTAAAGTTTACTTCATTGATAATAATCATGTACCATAACGATGTTGGCTGTAGTTACTAAAGTTTACTTCATTGATAATAATCGTGTACCATAACGATGTACCATAACGATGTTGGCTGTAGTTACTAAAGTTTACTTCATTTGATAATAATCATGTACCATAACGATGTTGGCTGTAGTTACTAAAGTTTACTTCATTGATAATAGTCGTGTACCATAACGATGTTGGCTGTAGTTACTAAAGTTTACTTCATTGATAATAATCATGTACCATAACGATGTTGGCTGTAGTTACTAAAGTTTACTTCATTGATAATAGTCGTGTACCATAACGATGTTGGCTGTAGTTACTAAAGTTTACTTCATTGATAATAGTCGTGTACCATAACGATGTTGGCTGTAGTTACTAAAGTTTACTTCATTGATAATAGTCGTGTACCATAACGATGTTGACTGTAGTTACTAAAGTTTACTTCATTGATAATAGTCGTGTACCATAACGATGTTACTAAAGTTTACTGTAGTTACTAAAGTTTACTTCATTGATAATAGTCGTGTACCATAACGATGTTGGCTGTAGTTACTAAAGTTTACTTCATTGATAATAGTCATGTACCATAACGATGTTGGCTGTAGTTACTAAAGTTTACTTCATTGATAATAGTCATGTACCATAACGATGTTGGCTGTAGTTACTAAAGTTTACTTCATTGATAATAGTCATGTACCATAACGATGTTGGCTGTAGTTACTAAAGTTTACTTCATTGATAATAGTCGTGTACCATAACGATGTTGACTGTAGTTACTAAAGTTTACTTCATTGATAATAGTCATGTACCATAACGATGTTGGCTGTAGTTACTAAAGTTTACTTCATTGATAATAGTCATGTACCATAACGATGTTGGCTGTAGTTACTAAAGTTTACTTCATTGATAATAGTCATGTACCATAACGATGTTGGCTGTAGTTACTAAAGTTTACTTCATTGATAATAATCATGTACCATAACGATGTTGGCTGTAGTTACTAAAGTTTACTTCATTGATAATAGTCGTGTACCATAACGATGTTGGCTGTAGTTACTAAAGTTTACTTCATTTGATAATAATCATGTACCATAACGATGTTGGCTGTAGTTACTAAAGTTTACTTCATTGATAATAGTCGTGTACCATAACGATGTTGGCTGTAGTTACTAAAGTTTACTTCATTTGATAATAATCATGTACCATAACGATGTTGGCTGTAGTTACTAAAGTTTACTTCATTGATAATAGTCGTGTACCATAACGATGTTGACTGTAGTTACTAAAGTTTACTTCATTGATAATAGTCGTGTACCATAACGATGTTGGCTGTAGTTACTAAAGTTTACTTCATTTGATAATAATCATGTACCATAACGATGTTGGCTGTAGTTACTAAAGTTTACTTCATTGATAATAGTCGTGTACCATAACGATGTTGGCTGTAGTTACTAAAGTTTACTTCATTGATAATAGTCGTGT